AAGGATTACCTGTTATCCTGCTAAAGTTCTATGGTTCTCTGAGGTGGTGAGTTGAGTTCTATTCCTATCTAAATTGACAAGGATTACCTGTTATCCTGCTAAAGTTCTATGGTTCTCTGAGGTGGTGAGTTGAGTTCTATTCCTATCTAAATTGACAAGGATTACCTGTTATCCTGCTAGAGTTCTATGGTTCTCTGAGGTGGTGAGTTGAGTTCTATTCCTATCTAAATTGACAAGGATTACCTGTTATCCTGCTAAAGTTCTATGGTTCTCTGAGGTGGTGAGTTGAGTTCTATTCCTATCTAAATTGACAAGGATTACCTGTTATCCTGCTAAAGTTCTATGGTTCTCTGAGGTGGTGAGTTGAGTTCTATTCCTATGTAAATTGATAAGGATTACCTGTTATCCTGCTAAAGTTCTATGGTTCTCTGAGGTGTGAGTTGAGTTCTATTCCTATGTAAATTGACAAGGATTACCTGTTATCCTGCTAAAGTTCTATGGTTCTCTGAGGTGTGAGTTGAGTTCTATTCCTATCTAAATTGACAAGGATTACCTGTTATCCTGCTAAAGTTCTATGGTTCTCTGAGGTGGTGAGTTGAGTTCTATTCCTATCTAAATTGACAAGGATTACCTGTTATCCTGCTGAAGGGATATGGTTCTCTGAGGTGTGAGTTGAGTTCTATTCCTATGTAAATTGACAAGGATTACCTGTTATCCTGCTAAAGTTCTATGGTTCTCTGAGGTGGTGAGTTGAGTTCTATTCCTATGTAAATTGACAAGGATTACCTGTTATCCTGCTAAAGTTCTATGGTTCTCTGAGGTGGTGAGTTGAGTTCTATTCCTATGTAAATTGACAAGGATTACCTGTTATCCTGCTAAAGTTCTATGGTTCTCTGAGGTGTGAGTTGAGTTCTATTCCTATCTAAATTGACAAGGATTACCTGTTATCCTGCTAAAGTTCTATGGTTCTCTGAGGTGGTGAGTTGAGTTCTATTCCTATCTAAATTGACAAGGATTACCTGTTATCCTGCTGAAGGGATATGGTTCTCTGAGGTGTGAGTTGAGCTCTATTCCTATCTAAATTGACAAGGATTACCTGTTATCCTGCTAAAGTTCTATGGTTCTCTGAGGTGGTGAGTTGAGTTCTATTCCTATCTAAATTGACAAGGATTACCTGTTATCCTGCTGAAGGGATATGGGTCTCTGAGGTGTGAGTTGAGCTCTATTCCTATCTAAATTGACAAGGATTACCTGTTATCCTGCTAAAGTTCTATGGTTCTCTGAGGTGGTGAGTTGAGTTCTATTCCTATCTAAACTGACAAGGATTACCTGTTATCCTGCTAAAGGTCTATGGTTCTCTGAGGTGTGAGTTGAGTTCTATTCCTATGTAAATTGACAAGGATTACCTGTTATCCTGCTAAAGTTCTATGGTTCTCTGAGGTGGTGAGTTGAGTTCTATTCCTATGTAAATTGACAAGGATTACCTGTTATCCTGCTAAAGTTCTATGGTTCTCTGAGGTGTGAGTTGAGTTCTATTCCTATGTAAATTGACAAGGATTACCTGTTATCCTGCTAAAGTTCTATGGTTCTCTGAGGTGTGAGTTGAGCTCTATTCCTATCTAAATTGACAAGGATTACCTGTTATCCTGCTAAAGGTCTATGGTTCTCTGAGGTGTGAGTTGAGTTCTATTCCTATCTAAATTGACAAGGATTACCTGTTATCCTGCCAAAGGTCTATGGTTCTCTGAGGTGGTGAGTTGAGTTCTATTCCTATCTAAATTGACAAGGATTACCTGTTATCCTGCTAAAGTTCTATGGTTCTCTGAGGTGTGAGTTGAGCTCTATTCCTATCTAAATTGACAAGGATTACCTGTTATCCTGCTAAAGTTCTATGGTTCTCTGAGGTGTGAGTTGAGTTCTATTCCTATCTAAATTGACAAGGATTACCTGTTATCCTGCTGAAGGGATATGGTTCTCTGAGGTGTGAGTTGAGCTCTATTCCTATCTAAATTGACAAGGATTACCTGTTATCCTGCTAAAGTTCTATGGTTCTCTGAGGTGTGAGTTGAGTTCTATTCCTATCTAAATTGACAAGGATTACCTGTTATCCTGCTGAAGGGATATGGTTCTCTGAGGTGTGAGTTGAGCTCTATTCCTATCTAAATTGACAAGGATTACCTGTTATCCTGCTAAAGTTCTATGGTTCTCTGAGGTGGTGAGTTGAGTTCTATTCCTATCTAAATTGACAAGGATTACCTGTTATCCTGCTAAAGGTCTATGGTTCTCTGAGGTGGTGAGTTGAGTTCTATTCCTATCTAAATTGACAAGGATTACCAGTTATCCTGCTAAAGTTCTATGGTTCTCTGAGGTGGTGAGTTGAGTTCTATTCCTATGTAAATTGACAAGGATTACCTGTTATCCTGCTAAAGTTCTATGGTTCTCTGAGGTGGTGAGTTGAGTTCTATTCCTATCTAAATTGACAAGGATTACCTGTTATCCTGCTAAAGTTCTATGGTTCTCTGAATTGGTGAGTTGAGTTCTATTCCTATCTAAATTGACAAGGATTACCTGTTATCCTGCTAAAGTTCTATGGTTCTCTGAGGTGGTGAGTTGAGTTCTATTCCTATCTAAATTGACAAGGATTACCTGTTATCCTGCTAGAGTTCTATGGTTCTCTGAGGTGGTGAGTTGAGTTCTATTCCTATCTAAATTGACAAGGATTACCTGTTATCCTGCTAAAGTTCTATGGTTCTCTGAGGTGGTGAGTTGAGTTCTATTCCTATCTAAATTGACAAGGATTACCTGTTATCCTGCTAAAGTTCTATGGTTCTCTGAGGTGGTGAGTTGAGTTCTATTCCTATCTAAATTGACAAGGATTACCTGTTATCCTGCTAAAGTTCTATGGTTCTCTGAGGTGGTGAGTTGAGTTCTATTCCTATCTAAATTGACAAGGATTACCTGTTATCCTGCTAGAGTTCTATGGTTCTCTGAGGTGGTGAGTTGAGTTCTATTCCTATCTAAATTGACAAGGATTACCTGTTATCCTGCTAAAGTTCTATGGTTCTCTGAGGTGGTGAGTTGAGTTCTATTCCTATCTAAATTGACAAGGATTACCTGTTATCCTGCTAAAGTTCTATGGTTCTCTGAGGTGGTGAGTTGAGTTCTATTCCTATCTAAATTGACAAGGATTACCTGTTATCCTGCTAAAGTTCTATGGTTCTCTGAGGTGTGAGTTGAGTTCTATTCCTATGTAAATTGACAAGGATTACCTGTTATCCTGCTAAAGTTCTATGGTTCTCTGAGGTGGTGAGTTGAGTTCTATTCCTATCTAAATTGACAAGGATTACCTGTTATCCTGCTAAAGTTCTATGGTTCTCTGAGGTGGTGAGTTGAGTTCTATTCCTATCTAAATTGACAAGGATTACCTGTTATCCTGCTAAAGTTCTATGGTTCTCTGAGGTGGTGAGTTGAGTTCTATTCCTATCTAAATTGACAAGGATTACCTGTTATCCTGCTAAAGTTCTATGGTTCTCTGAGGTGTGAGTTGAGTTCCATTCCTATGTAAATTGACAAGGATTACCTGTTATCCTGCTAAAGTTCTATGGTTCTCTGAGGTGGTGAGTTGAGTTCTATTCCTATCTAAATTGACAAGGATTACCTGTTATCCTGCTAAAGTTCTATGGTTCTCTGAGGTGGTGAGTTGAGTTCTATTCCTATCTAAATTGACAAGGATTACCTGTTATCCTGCTAAAGTTCTATGGTTCTCTGAGGTGTGAGTTGAGTTCCATTCCTATGTAAATTGACAAGGATTACCTGTTATCCTGCTAAAGTTCTATGGTTCTCTGAGGTGGTGAGTTGAGTTCTATTCCTATCTAAATTGACAAGGATTACCTGTTATCCTGCTAAAGTTCTATGGTTCTCTGAGGTGGTGAGTTGAGTTCTATTCCTATCTAAATTGACAAGGATTACCTGTTATCCTGCTAAAGTTCTATGGTTCTCTGAGGTGGTGAGTTGAGTTCTATTCCTATCTAAATTGACAAGGATTACCTGTTATCCTGCTAAAGTTCTATGGTTCTCTGAGGTGGTGAGTTGAGTTCTATTCCTATCTAAATTGACAAGGATTACCTGTTATCCTGCTAAAGGTCTATGGTTCTCTGAGGTGGTGAGTTCAAACCTTGTCCATGGTGAGTTGAGTTCTATTCCTATTGTAAATTCAGAAATTATTGTGTGCACTTATTATTGCGATTTTTGAATAATGGACAAAAATGTGAGACTAATTATTGCAATTTCAGGAAAATCTGCAGTAAGATATCAGATATCAAAATGCAAGTTCTTATTATTGCGATACTAACCCAGTCACACTATTCGCATTAATAAAAACCTTGCAATAATTTCTGAAGTTACAGTATCTAAATTGACAAGGATTGTAAACCTGTTATCCTGCTAAAGGTCTGTGGTTCTCTGAGGGTACTCAGCTTCATTTACCAATGTAAACTAGCCGCCATGATATACCGATGGTAGTCGAAAGTGATGCTAAACACCAAAAATACAAATAATCATTCACAGAGGAATATCAGCTTTTAAAAATTTGATACCCGATTCATTTGACATTATCAAAATGAAAAGTGATGTTTGAAGTTTAACATAGGTTTTGCATTTTATTTAAGCCTTTATTTACATTTAATTTTAAGCATAATTGAGGCTTGTCAACAGGACTAAGTTGATGAAATGCTTTCTCTGCTACATGAAAACATGACAGTCTGGTCTGTGGTATTGGCCAATCAGTGCTTAGCTTACATTTTTTAATCCTTCAAAAAAACGTTGCAATTTCATTTATAACATGTTTATGACTCAAACAAGTTTTGATAAACCAATGCACTTAAATCCTATCATGAAATGTAATCCATTATAGGTTTGTCTGGAATATGAGTTTGCCGAGAACTTTATATATAAATTTTCCTTATATTGAGTTGAATTGTTCTATTATTATTTTTTTTCAGCTTTATAATGAAGAAATCCTAGACTTATTAGACACGACTAGAGACCCTGATTCAAGGGTAGGTGTTTCCATTAGTGGTCAGTTGATACCACTGCTGGTTAAGTGGAAATCTATTGATTTGGTCATTTAATTGTGAGAGTTTTGATGAAAATAGTACAAAATGATTATTTCCGTAAATGAAATTGATTTTGTAGACAGTGGAAGAATATTGGTTAATGATTGAAAATGAAGATAAGCAAAAGATTTAAATAGATTTATTTTGTCATTAAGTGATGGGGAAAGTCTCGGGACCTTAGTACAAAATGTATATTTCCATACATGAAATTTATTTACAAAAGTCTATTTTTAGAATATTGGTTAATTCAAGTTGAGACAAAAAAATGTGAAATGATGTTATTGTGTGATAAATAACATATTAGATTTTGAACGGTTTTATTGCAAAATAAAATCCCCGATGATATATGTTGCAGAAATGACACATTATGGCTTATTGAAAATTTATACCTTTTTGCACTCTGAGAATTAGTCATGATTAACTAAAGAAATTGAAAGATATCTATAGATTAATGTTCATCAGAAGATATTTCAGTGATATAATATTGATTAAAATTATTTAATTCAATTAAAAAAAAAAAAACTACAGGGGAAATTTGATTGTTTGCATCACACTAAAATCTGCAGGGGGAAATGTGAAGCTTCTCTGAATGTTTACTCTAAATGAAAAAAATAATTTTGGAGCAATCCTCTTGTGAATAAACCTTGAATTTATTTAAAAAATTAAACTGCTATTGAGTATAAATCAGAATTGAAATCTATACCTGGAAGCTTCAGCATTGACAGACTTTATTTTAAACATGTTAAAATTCAATCCTCTTACTTAATCATAAAAAAATACAATATTTTATAATATATGTTTATTAAAAACTTAAATTTGTGCATTTTCCGTTATATTTCCCATGTTACAACATGCAACAATGCTAATGTTATTTAGTCACAGAAAGAACCAATTGTTCGATGACGTCATTTATGCTGATTGACCTCAGGTCAACAGATGTAACTCATGCATAAACAGCTTGAGATTGGTCTATTATGAATTATTAAATATTCTTATTAATTTCTTTTTTACAGGGTAGAAAATCTCATATAAAGATTCATGAGGATGCCACAGGTGGTATATACATGGTTGGGGTCACCACACAGTCTGTTGGATCTTTAGGTGATGTAAGTATAAAGGATAGGGGTGATGACACTTTGGATACAATGAGGACAAAGTGTGAATCTCTCTGTAAATAATAGGTTTACTTGGGGCAATCACAGTGGAACCAGAAGAGTGACACTTGTGGCATATATCCATAGTGATTTAGATCCCATATTTGCTGTTATCTTGATTTAACTGTAAGGAGTATGAGTGGAAGGAGGTGTGGGGAATACTTTATGGGGACAGCAACCCAATGACTCGAATGACAAAAGACATTTTTGGGAGAATAATCATGTCAAAAAATGCTACATTCAGTATTGGAAATAAAGGGTACAAGGGGGTTTGAGATGTTATTTATGCCTTATTTTTGCATATATAATTTTCCCATTGCAGGAGATGTAACAAAATTTTCTAAGATATTACTGCAAAACAATGCTTAATTTTAAATGCAGATTTTTAAAAAGCCATTTAATGAATTTAATGCAAGCATGTTACAAAAAAAAAGTGAAATGATAAAAAAACTGAACTCAAAGGAATATTCAAAACGGGAAGTCCCTTATCAAATGGCAAAATCAAAAGCTCAAACACATCAAACGAATAGAAAACAACTGTCATATTCAGACTTGGTACAGGCATATCCTTATGTAGAAGGGGCCTCAGTGGCCGAGTGGTCTAAGAAGTTACTACTGTAATCACTAGCCAGTCAACACTGAGGTTGTGAGTTCGAACCCCGCTTGTGCGGGTGCACTCGACTCCAATCTTAATCAACTAGGATTGTCAGTTTTCCTTTCGAAGGTCGGTGGTTTCTCCAGGCACTCTGGCTTCCTCCACCAATAAAAACTGGCCGCCACGAAAAAGCCCAAAAGCAGTGCTTAAAAGTGGCGTTAAAACACCAAAAATCTAATCAAATCCTTATGTAGAAAATGGTGGATTAAATGATTTTTTCGTTGAAATGGATGTAAAAATATCAAATTTGTATATTTCTGCCAGGTTATTGATCTAGTCTTTTGTGAGCCTCTTGTTCCATTTTTTGTCGGTAAAATCATTTGTCATGTATATATGTATATTCATATAAACAAGTCTAAATTGAAAACAACGTTCAAACCTATGATTGCGTTGGATAAAAACTGCAATTTTTATACGTGTGCATGCAAAACAAATTTCTTGGTAGAGGGGTCTAAATACAGCACAAACAACATTTTCCAAAAGACCAAATGAGTGAAAAAGTATATTTTAACAAAACGCATTTGACTAGCCAGTCGAACAACTGATGTTCTTAAACCCTGCTGACTGCCGTTGGCGATCGCCAAATAAGCGGATCACAAGATGTAACAAAATAGATCTTATTATTTATTTATTACCAAACAGAAAATAATAAACTTGCGGAAAAGATGGTATACCGCAAACATGAGGTGCAAAAATTTGTACACCATATCCGGATTTCGACAATTAATGTCTCTTCAGTAATGTAAGGAATCGAAACGGTATTTGGAAGGCCATATAATTTACCTCAATTTAGGATAGACTCTTGAATTTTGAAAGAGTCAAAATAGGATGAACGGATCATATAAACCCGAAGGCAAATATAATACAAGCCCAAACGAAAAAATATAAACAAGTCTAAATTGAAAACAGCGTTCAAACCTATGATTGCGTTGGATAAAAACCTCAATTTTTATACGTGTGCATGCAAAACAAATTTCTTGGTAGAGGGGTCTAAATACAGCACAAACAACATTTTCCAAAAGACCAAATGACTGTTTAAAAGCTGTTTTATGCTTATTTTCAGATTATGCATTCTAACTGTATAAAAGCTGTTTTATGCTTATCTTCAGACTATGCATTCTAATTGTATAAAAGCTGTTTTATATATATTTTCAGACTATGCAATTATTACAAAATGGTGCTTTATCACGTGCTACAGCCAGTACAAATATGAATGTACAGTCATCTAGATCTCATGCTATATTTACATTACATGTAAAACAACACAGGATGGTCCCTAATGAGGTATGTTTAGTATAGGTATGCTTGCAGAACACCTGAGATCACCCGCTTTTTGTGGGGTTCTTATTGCTCAATCTTTAATTTTCTATGTTGTGTTTTGTATATAACTGATGTTTGTCTTTGGGTCGTTTTCCATTTTTATGCTCCTGTCATCACCAAAGTTTCAATGTCCGTGGGTATCTTTCACTTCTCTTTCAGACATCTTGCATTCAATCATTATCATAGCTGAAATAAGTTCAAACACTGCTTGTGGAGTGTTAGTTTTTTTGCTGAAGATTGGTGGTTCTCTGGTTTTCTCCTCCATGATATAGCCAAGGTTGTTGAAAGAGATATTGAACAACAACAAACAAACATCAGCTGAAATCGATTGCAGCTTTTGCTGTATTCAAATGTAATGAATTATTATATTATAAATATGAATAAAAGGCAATGTGTGGTAAATGTCAATTATACAGAAACCAGAAGACATGTAGAGGTCATATATACAGTCTTAAAAACAATATACAAACAACTGTAAAATATGCCAAGTTCTATAAATCGCCCGAGTTAAAACAAGTTGTGAAAAAATTTCTCTGAAAATTTCAAAGATCTACTTTTAAAATCAAATTCCATAAATGACAAATTAAATTCCATATATGACTAATCAAATTCAGACATTTCTTTAAAAAGACAACACTGAAATATCTTATTGTAAGAACCAGGAACTCTTTTTCACGAAAAATCTTATGATAAAACTTATCATAAGTTATACTGAAATATTCACGACTTACATATATTGTTGAAATGCCTGATCACCTTTGTATTCCCAATGGTTTTGGTTTAGAAAGGTTTTAATAAGTTCCTTCTTTTTAACATAATGAAACAGTTACTAAATAATGTTCATATAATTTACATATTTGTAAAATTTCTTAGTATACATTAATAATATTTGTTTAACTTTTCAGCCTGAGAATGATGATGATGAAGATGAGAAGGAAACAGATTCTACTCAGGGAGATGTGAATGAGTTCGAGACATTGACAGCCAAATTTCACTTTGTCGATCTGGCGGGTTCAGAGAGACTCAAAAGAACTGGTGCTACTGGAGATAGAGCCAAAGAAGGCATTTCAATCAATTGTGGCTTGGTAAATTTATATGATGTGATCTAATACTGTAAAAATATTTGAGATGTTTTTATTATTGCAAAATTGCAATGTAATAGGTTTAAGAAATTAAAAGATAACATTTTAATTTTTAATAGCATTATTTGTTTGCAGCATTTTGTGAAATCTTAATATTTAATCTTGTATTTTTATCAATCATGTCAATTGTTTAATAATGGAAAAAATAAATTGTAGAAATTTCTAAATTTAGAGGAGTTAAAAATCTGCATCAATTAAATATCATGAATAACACATCATCATAAAGGTATACAAATTTAAACCTTATAAGTTCATGATAGTTATAAAAAATGGGGGTAAATAGCAAAAGACAGTAACCCAAAAGCAAAATGTGAATAAACTTAACAGAATCACAAGAGATCTAACATGCATGTAAGTGGACTAAAAAGTATATTGATGTTTTCATGAATAAAGTGTAGAACATTGTCTTCATAAGGACTATTTCATGTCAAAAATGAACTCCTGTTTACAAAGTGTACAAGAAAAGGTAGATTGAATTATGAAATGTATGATTAAAGACCAAAACTTAACAACAATAAAAAAAGAAAAAGAAAACTTTCAAATCAGTAGACTATTCATTGAAGTTGCATGAAGAAAAAATTGTGAAAATTGAAAATTGATTCCATATTTATTTTTTTTTTTGAGGCAACAATTATGAAAAATTGCTGTCGTTACTGTAAATTTTTTTTCTTCATTTTTATAAAAAAAAAACGTATTTTTATTTTTAAATGTTTTGTGGAAAAAAATAATGATATATGGATTCTTAAAATCCTTGGAATAAAATTTTGCACAAATCAAATTATTTTGGAAAATTCATGGTATTGAATCCCTCAAATTCCTTTAGGAATTGGTTGCCCCCTTATTAAAATTTCATGTTCATTTTAGCTTGCCTTAGGAAATGTGATATCAGCTCTTGGAGATATGTCCAAGAAATCTACTCATGTCCCTTATAGGGACTCTAAATTAACCAGACTACTTCAAGACTCCTTAGGAGGAAATAGGTAGGTAATTTAATCTATAAAATCTGCAATAATTTAAAATGGTATATCTCTAACAGAAATATTAAAATGGACATAGGTAATTTCTTGCACAGTTTTCATTTAAAGAGCTCTGAGTATTAGAATTACCATGATACAAATTTAATAATTATGATAAGTAAGTCCAAAGAAATCATTCAAAATTATTGCATGTTTTAAAATAAGCAAGTTTAAATTTCTTTGGTGTTTGAAGAGTTAGTTAATGCCATAAAAATCAAGCTGATTTAGATATTCTTCACATGTATTTACTGGTTTAGGTATAATATCAGGTAACATTTGCCTGATTCATTTCACATAAATTTCGTTTTATTAACAGAAATTTTTGTCTGCAAATTTTGTATTGTGTTAAGTGGTCAGTAAATATGATACTAGAAATAAAAAGACATGTAGGGTATATGTCTATGAAAACAAGCCAACAAGACAAAGACATCTTAGTTGTTTGGGTACTGTAAATTCAGAAATTATTGCGAGGTTTTTATTATTGCGAATAATGCGAATGGGTGAGTATCGCAATAATAAGAACTCGCATTCTGATATCAGATACATATATCTGTATGCAGATTTTCTTGAAATCGCAATAATAAATCTATTTTTGTCTATTCTTCAATAATCGCAATAATAAATGCATGCAATAATTTCTGAATTTACAGTATACTGAACAACGCAAAAAAAATCAGAGACCTCTAGAGATCAGCATTTAGTTGATAGGTATATTTTAGTTTTGTACACTTGAAGTATACCAAAATGTACACACATGTTGTTAAGCATGTTAAGGGTACTATGTATTGCCATGCAATACTCTCAGGGTGCTTGTTAGATATGGCATCAACATATGTATTTTTAATGGATTTATGGGATATTCAGAGGCAAATGAATTCATTTGATAGCACACTTTAAAGTTACCCATAATTACTGCATTAATTAATCTATATGTAATTTTTTTCAGTCGGACTTTAATGATTGCCTGTATATCACCTTCTGATAGAGACTTTATAGAAACATTAAATACATTAAAATATGCTAATCGTGCACGTAATATAAAAAACAAAGTGATAGCCAACCAGGACAAAGCCAGTAAACAATTAGCAATATTACGGACAGAAATAACACAGTTACAGCTAGAATTATTGGAATATAAAACGGTGGGTATTGCAAAATCTTCCAGGTTTATTAAAATTGATTATACTTGCAATTATTTGTGTAAATACAGTGCCACAGAAATGATTTGTCACACCATGGTGAAGAAATGTAATTAGTGTAATTGACAGTATACAGTAAAGCTGACAATGTAAAATAATTGGATTTATAAGATTGCCAGCATTGTATTTCACTTTACATTTCATACATTTACAGTCAGTGAAGTTTGAGAATGTCAAAATAAAACTTTTTTTTTATTATCAGTGTAGTTTAAGTATCAAAATCAATAATTAATTCTGTAATTAACATGAACATGTACATGACGAAGAACTAAAATACTGTAGATATAAGTAAGACTGTTTCAGAAATGAATATATGTAGAAGGTTGTAATTATAGAATAACTAATCGAAGAATTCAAATATAGAAAAATATTCAACGAGTGACTGAACAACACATTAATTCACAAATGCGCGTAGTGCATGAGTTAATTATCAGGTTATTTGGTCACAAGTTGAATAATTTTTTGATATTTGAATTCTTTGATACGTTATTCTTTTATATTACATTGACAATGGTCTTTTAATGGAAATAAAGCAGAAAATACAAGGAACTATATCTTTTTCTATGCATTAACAATTTGTTTTAATGCAATTTCATCGACAACGTCTTGATAACACCTATTGTTGTATGGTGTCAGAGGAGTGATATTATCGAGTTTTTGTCACATGTGAAATTATCGGTTTTTATTTCACTGGTAAATCAGGGTAATTCATTGCAATCAATGTAATAATGCACTTTATCATTTACCCCACCTTCCATAGAAGTTGAAATGATTATTTTCCTAGAACTAGTTCTGTAAAATTTTCCATTAGAACCGTCCTCAATTTATGAACAATGCTTGATACAGACACCTCCCACATTACAATGTATTATGGAACAGCTCTGAATGCAGAATTTCAAATGGTACAATACTTTTTTGTCCCAAACTTTAAAAGATGTTTTTTATTTAAATTTCAGGGTAAACGGACTGTTGATGCAGACGGTGTAGAAACAGTTAACGATATGATTCTGGAGAACACCATGTTACAGACAGAAAATGATAAATTACGTCAGAGACTTAAAGCTTTAAATGATGTGATTGACTCACTGAAAACACAAAATACTCAGTTAATAGCAGAAAAGGCTGCTCTAGGCATTACAAATATTTCTGGTAGGTATCATGGATTCTTTAGATTTATAACATTTTCTGCAGATTTGTTCTGCATATTACCATTTCTAATAAAATTGTTCAAGAATTAGAGCTTTTTTCCTAATGCTTGTAGTTTAAATGTTTGCTCAAGCATTGTAATTAAGATTGACATCTGCAATCAATAGATAGGCAGGGCTTCAGCTTGTATACATTATACTCTGCATAATACTTAACATCCAGTAACATTTAAGTATAATGTATACAAGTTGAAGCCCCGCCTATCTATTGATCGCAGATGAGCAAACATTTATATAAACAAAACAAGCAAGCCAACCAAACCATAAAACTACAAGCATTAGGAAAATAGCTCTAAATCTATGCATCATGAATCACATGGTGACATTCCATAGTGCTTTAGTAAATTGGTTGACTGCCTTTACATGTTTACCTCAGCTTAAAACTTATGATACACCTATACACTTCATATATTGGTATTGCATATAGTTTTTATTTATTTCCAATGGTCACTCCTTTTTCTTTCAGTGAATGCTAGGAAATTGAATTAACATTAAATTGAAATAATTGTAAACCTATATAATATCAATTGGACAAAGGCTGCCACCAAAGTTAGTGTTCATTTTATATATATACTTAAAATTGATTCAATATCTCCTCACATGCATTATTTTTTTTATGAATATGAATGTGGTGTGCAAGTCAATTGACAGCAACCTAAAAAGACACAAAAATATTAAAAGACATTAATATAGGTCAGCATAAATTCACTGGCAAGAGAACAAGGTTTTTGCTTTTAATGTCGCTGTAGGTTAATTACATGTAATAAAACTGTACATAAGTAGAATATTCTATGCAAGAAATTTAGCTCCAGGAAATAGTTGTATATGAAAATAAGGAGATGTGGTATGATTTCCAATGAGACAACTATCTACCAGAGTCCAAATTATTGGATGAAAGCAACCATAGGTCACTGTATGGCTTTCAGTATTGAGCAAAGCCCATACTGTATAGTTAACTATAAAATTCTCTGACATGATGAAATGTGAATCAAACAAGAACTATAAAATTCTCTGACATGATGAAATGTGAATCAAACAAGAAAACCAACAGTTTGGTTTAAGACAAAAAACAATCAACAAAAAAGCTAAGGTGACAGACAACAACCAATGATTACCACTGATGAAAAACAGATTTGTGATTGCTCAACCCTGTCCCTAATCTATGCAGCACCACAATATGGCAAGAATAAAAACATTCTTATTATTAAATCATGTTTTCTTTTGACAGAGGATGCCAGGGCTGGAGAAGTGACCAAAATGATTGAAAATTATATCCAGGAAATAGAAGATTTAAGGTATTTACATTTGAAGGAAAAGCAATAAGTGCATATGGCCTTGAACTTTAAACTTTTATTTGTTTTATTTTTATATCATAAATTATGAATGTGAATAGAAGCTTTAAAGAAATAAGGGGCAGACAAACTAAAAAGTAAGGATAAAATTATATGAATGCAAAGATAAAATGAGACACACAATATTAAAATAATGATAAAATTTCATTAATAGGAACTACAAAGATATACTGATTGGAAAACGTCACAATTAGTTTGGATAAATTGTATAGTTCAAGTTCAATTTAAGAAAATGTTTTTTTTGTCAGTGATCAGTTTAATTTGAACTTTTACCAAGTGTTATTTAAGAAATAAAAGAAAGGTATTAAAATTACCATGGCATTAGCAGAACAAATTGGTTCACTTGACTTTACCTTAGACATTTACATCACCATCCTGCTATTGAATACTTATAAAAGGGATATTACAAGTGACCTTTGCTTACAGTTCAAATTGTTCAAATAGTTGTATAGCTCCTAATTTGATGAAATACACAATTGTAAAAATTGATAAATTTATGGTGTTTACTACAAATATAACATTTTAAGAAAATTGTGTAATTAAATTCAACTTGTATGTACATGTATATTCATTTTCCATCAATTTTTTTATAGATCCAAATTAGTAGAATCAGAAGCTATGGCCTTACAATTAAAGAAGAGAAATACTCCAGTGCGTATGTCGGCCATGAGTCCAATGATGTCCCCTATCAGTATGGCCAGCAGTTTAGATATCTGTGGATCACCGGCTGCGATGGGAAGTTCTGTTCTCCTCGATGCCAAGAAAGACTTGAAAAAATTAAAGAAAATGAAAAAGAGTAAAGTGTCCAGAAGTCTTAGGTATGAATTTATAATAAAAATAGCTAATGAGACAAATCTTTACCAGAGACGAATTAACAAAGAAGCTTCCAACTATAGGTCACCACATGGACTTCCAACAATGAGCAAAACCCATACCCCACACTATATGAAGACATGAATTGACAAATATAAAACAATTCAAATAAGAAAGCTATCAACCTGATTTATGTACAAAACAATAACTGATATACAGCAACAAAACACAGGCTCCTGACTTTGGGACAGGCACATACAGAATGTTTGCATGCACCCAACTCTCCCCTAACCTAAGTGGTGTAACAGTACAATGTACGAACAAACTAATAAAATCAGTTGAAGTCGTCTTCACTCATTAGATCAATACAAAGCAAAACGCTAAAGACACAATATACAGATCTGGGAGAACTCAAAGCTACGGAAAGCTAGTTCATGCTTATAATAACTAATAAAAAATCCTTTAAGACTAAAATTTTTTTATTCTTTTTACTGATAATGTCTCAAGGTACAGCATTGTTAAAGCCTTCCTTAGATGGAAATGCAAAAGAGCTTTGGAAGACCTTTTTACACACCAACACTTACCACCGAGACAAATCTGATATTAAATCAGAGTATTAGAATAATAAATTTAACCTTATCTCACACCCACATGTACATCCCATGCAAATCTGATTTTAAATCTGAATATTATATTTATAGATTTGACCATCACAAATTTTTACAATATAACTGGATACAAAAAAAACATAGCTGCAAATGTTTGCACCTGTCCTAAGTCAGGAATCTGATGTACAGTAGTTGTCGTCTGTTCATGTAGTTCATACGTGTTTCTCGTTTCTCGTTTTTATATAGATTAGACCGTTGGTTTTCCCGTTTGAATGGTTTTATACTAGTAATTTTTGGGGCCCTTTATAGCTTGCTGTTCGGTGTGAGCCAATGCTCTGTGTTGAAGGCCGTACCTTGACCTATACTGGTGTACTTTTATAAATTGTTACTTGGATGGAGAGTTGTCTCATTGGCACTCATACCAAATCTTCCTATATCTATAGATCAAGAAAAAAAAAACAAGCTAGGAATACAAACAAAACATGATACACTCAGACATTTTTGTATGCCAATGTAACATAAAACTACTGAAATTACATAGAAATGTCAGAAGAGTTAGATATAAAAGTCCTTATAGTAATGGTTCACATTAAGACTTCACAGATTCCGTTAACAAAGAATAATTATGAGGCTCAAAATATTTTTAAGAAAATAAAAAAACATATCTTCATTCTTCATAGACATTTAATAAACACAAGTATGTACATCCAAGAAACATATTAAAGTCATAAGAAACGAGTTTCTTGAAATTTTAATGTTATCAAAATTATTGAATCAATGCATTAATGATACTAAACTAAGTCTTGTATGCACGTTTTATTTAAATTTATTACGAAATCGTATTATTCACAAATAATATTTCATTCAGTGATTTTTGATCGCAAGCTAATTATCTTTTGAGTTTGTTGCCGAAGTTTACCGGATCGTGACATTGATAAACAATAAACACAGAGCACATGGAAAGCGTGACAAATAAGTGAATTGAAAGAGCCATGGCATTTGTTTTGATATTTTCCATGCGTTCCCATTTGTTAAATAAACTTTTCCTTAACAGTTGTTAAATGATTTGTTGTATTAGGTTTGTTCTTTAAGAATCTTTTATTACTATTTACCTTCCAGAGCACGTGTGTTTACATTCTTACATCATAGTTTTCCCCTCTCACTTGCGCTTTGCTGTGGCCAAAGTTATAACGATAGTTCTCGTAGTTAAGGTCACTGCATACAGGAAATATTGGTGAATTAGTGTGTGGGAGGTCAATAATTCAATTTTGGTAAATTTATGAAGATTTTGATAATATAAAGGATTTTTTTTTAAGAAAAAGTTCACGTTCACTTGTTTTATAGTAAAACTTAGCCATTCAAGTATATAAAACATAATCACCTTTTTTTTTTAAATTTGAAGTTTCATATGACTTTAAAAATGGTAGAAATGAAATCTTATAATAAACAATTTATATATTTTGCAGTGAGAAAGAGAACGTGAGTGATAATGAAAAAGAACAGAATGAAGCAGAGGCTGACCAAGAAATGAAAGAAGAAGTAAATGGAGAAAATGAAGAAATGATGGGAGTAGAAGAAGAAATTGAAGAGGTATTGGTCTTCAGTAAAATCATTCCATATTTACTTGTGCTTATTTTTATTCATATCAACTGACAGAATATATAAACATATTTATTTTGTTATTATTCCTAAAATTCAGTTTGAAACTTTTATTTATGGTAAAATTTGGAGATCAGGAATTGTTTGGAAGATTGTTAAATTTGAACAAAATTTTTTTTACTTTTTTTTTAAGTCTGAAATTCAGCCTTCCACTAGTGATTTTTGCCTTGCAATTGTTCTTGAATTCCTCCATGAACTGGCATTTTATCAATTAAGAAAGATTTTACAAGTTAGTATGGATTTATTTATTTTCATGGGTACCAATTTTCGTGGATTGAGGAAAAATATTGATATTAGATTTCATGGTTTTTATATATTTCTTGAATACAAGCCTGTAAAAAATGGTACTTTTTTGTAAATTTTACTTTTTCATACATTCTTTTTTTTCTGAAATATTATTTCTAAAATCAAACAGTAACAAGTATGTTTTGTTGTTTCCTAAAAAAATAAATGCATATCAATCATTTTAGAAGAATCATAACTACAAAAGTTTACTGTTTTAGTAAGGCCAAAAAAATGGAAAACTCTTTTGAAGAAATTGGGTTGCCTCCCAGAAACCAGCATATATGATCAGAGTATAAAAATTACCTTAAATGGCATTGAACGAACTAGATAAATCAGTAAGCTATTAAGTATTTTTCTGTTTTTTCAAATTTACATGCCATATTAAAAAATATGTGTTTCTATGACAATAGATGGATGAAGAAGATGACGATGAAGAAGAAGAATTGGATGACTTAGATGAGAGTTCAGATGATTCAGATTCAGAAGATAAAGGTAAAGAGATTTAAAGAATTCATAGATATACAGATTTCGATAAAATTAAATTATGTGTTGAGAACTTTTCTTTGTTTTTAACAGTGACTTTTGAAAAAAAGTATTGAAAAGTACTTTTTCATAGGAAGTTGCTTATGTAAGAGATGTTTTAAATTTAACAAGCAGTAAACTTACACTACAACAAAAGTGGGTTGTGTAAATTCCACCTGCCCACCAATGGCAGCTCTGCATTTTCCCGCCAAAAAAATTAACAATATTTTGTAAAATAAAATTGTAATACTAAATCGTTGCTCACTTTTACGGTATAAATGCATTTAGTTTAATACCAATATGTAATGTAATTTGGTTGGTAATTGATGGTTGCTTAATGTTAGGTAGCAAATATTACACACAAAGAAAGATATTTGAATTTGGAAGATATATATATGAATAAAAGGAGATCTGAAGTATACATACTACATGTAAAGTATGTTGATATAGGATTTATTGAAGACATTGAATAACAGGACTGGAAATGGGGCAATATTCACTGCAATGATATTTTTACATTTGCATATTATAGAAAAAGGATATCGAGTATCCATCCATGACACAAAATCAGCTCATGCACAGCAAAAAGACACATAAAAAGCAAAGGAACAGCGCCTTCATTGCTGTTCTCCATCTCAAAACCACAGTGAGGCCTTCAACACGGAGCCAAAAAAAAAAAACTCTCACCTCACTGCAAGTTTAAGACGGCCCCTAGCACTGGCTTGAGCGGAATTCTTTGCAAAAATAATTTCGATAGGCTTTGTAAGATGTAACACCAACTAATGAGGCCCGGTCAAAAAAGAACATACTGGAAAGTAGTACATATTTAAAACAAAATAGTTCCTACGCATAGGTGTAAATCTTAAACTATGTAGCAAATATTTTAGTAATTAAGGTATCAGATGAAAGGTGAAGGACTGGTGATCCTTTTAAATATTGCACTGGATGAAATGCAAAGGGAATAAGAAACCTATTCGCACACTTATTATGGAAAAAAATGAATTATCAAAAAAAATGTGAATTAAGATAATAAAACAGATCACAAAAAGTTACATAGAATGAAATTAAAAAAAAAAAATGAACAGCATGGAATATATGAAACTTTATTCTAAACCGAACAAGCACATCAAGAAAAGATAAGATAAACCAGATCACAAAATTATTTGGAATACAGTATTAGAATAATAACATTTTTCTTACATTGTATAGTGGAGATGTTTTTGGATTATTGGTTATATTGGGCAGGTACATCAGTGTTGTACCCCATCAGTGTGTTTATTATTTGACCTCTAAAATGCCTCTTATGCATGACCTTTGTTTTAGATGTATATTATATATTTTTTTAATTGTTTTTTTTTTTTATTTTGATTTTCATATATCTTATTGTTATTTCTTTTCCGTTTTTTATTTGTTTACAAATTATTCTACTTTTAAGATAGACGTCTTCCATTTTACAGATTTATTGTCATACCTAAGCATGAGAAAAGCAAATTTCTTTTTTATGTTTATTTACAGTAAATTCAGAAAATTTTGCATGTATTTATTACTTTATTTATTGAACAATGGACAAGAAAGCAAAATTAATTATTATAATTCATAAAAAAAATGCACGTAGCATTGCTACATAATTCAGAAGAAATTAAATTAAGGGAACATGTTCAGTCAATTATTATAGCTCAGTTGCTTAGAAAGAGCATATGAGATTGCACAGCAGAAGTCTAAATTCAGAATTATGCTTTCTTCTTTGGTTTTAATTAGTCATTGATAAGTAAAGATATTTTTGATGTAATGTGAAAATTAGAAACCACATTTCAGTATTCTTTTAATTTAATGAAAAATAAACAACATGATATTCATTATAGGGAGTAAATTGCAGGTCCCCCAATATACACCAGGTTGAAAAAGCAGATTCTTTCTACTTTTCACTTTTGTAAAAATATTGTTCTTGTATGATTGCCAATGAGACAGCTATACACAGAAGTCCAAAAGACAAAGATGTTTACAACTACAGGTCATCATATGGATCTCCACAATTAGCAAACCTATACCATATAGTAAGCTATAAAAAGCTTAAGGTGGTACATAACACTACAGGGAGAAAACTCTTTAAAAATCAGCTGAATGTTTTTATCACATTCTATTGTTAAGGAAATATTAAGCTTCTCAATGATCAAAATTAGTGTTTGTCAAACTGCTATATACATAAGGAAATTTTTCCGATGAAGTGTGTGGATCAAGTATTTTGAAATTTTTGTATTTTTGTCAAAGGGTCAAAGTTTGATATTTTGTCAAAATTTTATGAAAATTAAACAAGCCAAATTAATTTTAGTCAACATGTTTGGTACCACCTTAAGAATAACAAATTGAATAAGAAAAAAAAACAACAGCTTGATTTAAGTTAATAACATTAAAAAAGAAAATGGCAGATGATGATGATGATGATGATGATGGATTTTTAGAGTCCATCAGCAGAATTAAATACATATTCAAAATGAGAGCATGTTAATGCGATATGAATATGAACCTAGCTTCATACTAGACTGACAGTCTGCAGGAAGACATGCCACCCTATGGGACACATTATTCTGACTCCAAGTATCCTTCAATTTTGGTTTTAATTAGTCATTAACCAGTAAAGATATTTTTAAAATAATGAGAATAAAATATATAAACAACAATTTCAGTATTATCTTAATCGTGTAGAAAATAAACAATATGATATTCATTGCACTATTAAATTTGTGTTCAAGATTCAGACAATATACATGAAGATCTAGCTGAGCTGACTTGTGAGATCTCCATCAAACAGAAGCTTGTGGAAGAACTAGAACAATCACAGAAGAGACTTCACTCTGTGAGGCAGCAGTATGAAGACAAGGTGGTCCAGTTAATGGAGAAAATTAAATCTATAGAAATGGAGAGAGATACTATTCTATCCAATATTGGTAAGGTCTTAAGGGAATTGTGTATATATTGTATATGTTAAAGAGCTTACAAATTTCTGTCTTTTTGTGTTGAGTTATTTTAAAATATTGTAAACCAAGTTATTTTTGTGCAATTTTTGTTTTGTTTTGAGCCTTTTCTAGTCAACTCTGTGACAAGTTTTGTTCATAATATTCTAGCTTAATGGATGTATTCATATTAGAAAAGATCCTGTTTTGACATTCACAGCAATTTTATATTTATGTTATTTTTGAAGTAAAGAAAATTGATTACATGCGAAAATAGTTGGTTTACAGTATATGTGCACATCATATACATTCGTATTTGCATGTATTAATTTTTTTTTTTTTTTTTTTTTAAGAACAAAAACTGGGTTAACTTTTGTTTGGGTTTAATTTCCTAGATAATATCTATATACAAAGTAAAGGAAATTAAAACCCTACCAAATTTCTGCTTTTAAATTATAACTTATTAACTAAAAGAATATCTTAATACATTGTGTATGTACATTTATCTTGTGTGGAAATAAATCTGCTTGGCATATATTATTTTGAGAAATACAGATAATATTGAAAACATTCAAAAAGTGATGATTGAAATGTTTTTGTTTGGACTTTTCTAAAATTTGTTAAATTTTGTAGATTGGAAAATGTATGTATAGAGATTTTATTTTGCACTTGGGATAAAATCTTGAAAGCATTAATTCTAAGGAAAATGAAACATTTGAAGAAAAAATGTGAAAATTTAATCTCATGGATAAAGTTTGGCCATAAAAATCACCAAATTTTGATGCTACAAATCTATGAAAATTAACCATCTAATAGTAGGTCATCTTCAAGGCTCATTATACTGCATATTATATTTTACATGAATTTATGTTAAATTCTAAAATAATTCTTTTATTGTATGTCTGAGCTGATAGACATAAATCATAAAGCTTTATCATAATATACAAGAAATTTACATACATAAGCTTTGGAGAGCTTTTAGAATAGATTTCCATTGTCTAAATTGAAAAGAATATAACAGCAGTTTTGATTATAAATCTGCATATTTAAGTAGCAATTTTGAAATTTATGGTCCCTCAATCTTACTTGTGCTCTCTGCATGACAGGGTCCATGTTTGCTGATATGGTGTTAAATCAGCATAGACTAATCAATCAATGTCTCATTCCTATATAACAGGTTCTATAGAAAGCCAGTCAAGTGATAAAGTCAAGAAAGTCAAAGTAGAATATGATAAAAAGTTGACAGGACTTCAGAATGATCTAAAGAAACTACAGGCTGCCAAGAAAGAACATGCTAAAATGTTAAAAAATCAGTCTCATTATGAAAAACAGCTAAAGACATTGCAGCATGAATTAGCTGAAATGAAAAAGACTAAGGTTGGTGTACTTTGTTGAATTAAAAACCACAAAATAAAAACGAGGAATTGGTGATAGATTTTTCTCTAATTTTCATGCTTTTTTCGTATTTTTCAATCGTTTACGTCAAAATTTCTTGATTTCTTCTGAATATCGTACTGTGACGTCATGAAAAATGCCACCATGCCTGATGACGTCACATCTTTCTAAAGTTAAAAGGATAAACTTTGTTTAGATATCATCTTAAAATCATTAGAGAACAGATTCTACCAATACATCTCATGTATTATGATATTTCTCCACTCTCAACAGTTAAATTTTAAATATTTAAAAAGCTTGGCAATCACGCGTTATAAATTTCAAAATTTAACTGTCTCGAGTGGAGAAATATTGTGACACACTTGATGCAATGGTGGAATCTATATGTCTATGGTATGTGATTCACATCTACTGAATGATATATTTATCCTATAGCTCTCCTATTGTATAAGTTTGAGTCTTGCTACAGTCAATTGTAAAAAATGTCATCCTAACAAATAATACAACTTTTAGAAGACAAGAAAAAACATTTTTCAAATTTTCAAATTTTCTCTAAAAACTTTAGAAAAGAAATCATATCCAAATTTGTCTGGTTATTTTAACCTATGTTAAATACTAGTTCATCATTTATTTGCAAGACCTGCATCTTCCTCTCGTACATACCTATTAAACTAGAATGAATATGAACATGTCTCTTGCATGGAAATGAATGTTAATTTTATGTGTAGCTGCACCTCAACGGAGTGAATATTGGTAAATATGTAAGACAAAAAAACTGAAAGGTTTTTACCTCCACTCCCAAAAAAAAAAATGTATTGGGGTTCAAAAGGATGGCAGTTGCCTGTGATGCTTTCAAATAAGAAAAGGTAGACAAAAACCAAACTCACAACAGAAATGAAACCAGATAAGGGCAGACAGACAGACAGACTCACATTTATTCTTAGAACATCCCTAATGTTTTAATCTTTTCATTGTGTAATACACACCCTTTGAAAAAAACAAAAAGCAAAAAAGGAGACAACAAAAACCCAACCCACAAAAGAAAGAAATAGACAGACAGACAATTATTTCTGAAAATTTATTTCAAAACTTTTCAATATCTTACAGGTAAAATTAATGAAACAAGTTAAAGAAGAAGCTGACAGAAACAAACAGTCTGAAGCCAGACGTAATAAAGAGGTGGCACAACTAAAGAGAGAACAAATACAAAAGGAAAACAGAATCAGAAATCTGGAGAAAGAAAAGAAACAGAAAGAAACAGTTCTGAAAAGAAAAGTTGAAGAGGTATGGATGAGTTAGAAAAGTTTTTAAGAATTAATTCACCTAGTCTATTGGATATTGTCTTATACTTTTTTCGAAATGTTTCAGAATTATTAAATGTCCCAGAAACATTTGGCTAGAGCTTGATTTTAGGGTTAGGGCTAAGTATGGGTTCGATTTCAAGTTAGGGTTTGTCTAGTATAGCTTTATATGGGTTTAGACCCAAAAAGTTAATGAACGCCAAACATTTATGCTCTGTGGTAAGTACAATGTACTTTAAATGGTCATTGACTAGATTAAAAGATAAATATAATTTGTATGCTGCAGTCACATGACATGAGGAAGTAGTGAAATTCTTCTTTACTAAGTTTTATGAAATTGGCAACTTATTTAGTTGATTTTATTTTGCATTTGCTGAAATGATTGAGTGTTGGTTGTTTTATGTCCAGTGATAAATTGTCATACAAATGTTTGGCAATGTAAATTAAAAGTCTCTAAAAATCTTATGATGTGAGAATAAAACATGTAGATGGGTTGATTATTTGTTTTTAAAATTTTTTAAATTTTTAGTTAATGTTTTAAACATTTTTTGAGTAGGAAACATTAAATGTGTTTGAAAAGCTGGAAGTCTTTTGTGGTTGGTGCTTTTCATATAAACAGACAAAATGTTGAAATACAAAACTATTCTTGTTTGAGGTTGATAATTTTGGGAATGATTAATAAAAATCTGAATATCTAAATATATGCAGGTTGATTGATAAGAACTAAAATTAAAATAATCAAAAATAATTATCTTGGTTGACAGGAATTACAAAAAGAGGTTGTATTTTGTGTGAATTTTTAAACATATTTTTACTTCATTATGAGCACATATTGAACACTTTCAGAAATACTAACACCATACATAGTATTTTAACATATTCATTTTTCAACCGCCAAAAACCAAAAAATAATCATGGCACAGTGTGGCTTGCTTTACATCCATGCAAATTGGTTAGAATTTCTCTATTACAAATATATTTAAAAACTTCCTTTTGGAAAACCTTACCTCTATTTGTAGTTAATCATTTTACCAAGAAATCCTAATTACAAAATAAAATTAATATTCATGTCATTGCAATTTTTATACGGCCGCAAAAAAATTTTGTGGTCATATATTGGTATGACGTTGGCATCGTCGTTGTCCGGCGTCGTCATTGTCCGAAGACACTTTAGTTTCAGTGAATGGATCTCTATGAAATTTTACCATAAGGTTCAATACCACAAAAGGAAGGTTGGGATTGATTTTGGGGGTTATGGTACCAACAGTTAAGGAATTAGGGGCCAAAAATAAGCATTTTTGTAACTTCCAGACAATAACTTGTGTTCAAGTGTATGGATCTCTCTGAAATTGTACTGCAAGGTACCATACCACAAAGGGAATGCTGGAATTGATTTTGGGGGTAATTGCCTCAAAATTTTAGGAATTAGGGGCCAAAAAGGGGCAAAAAACAAGCATTTTTCTAGTTTCATGACAATAACTTGTGTGTAAGTGTATAGATCTTTATGAAATTGTACTACAAGGTTCCATATCACAAAGGGAAAGCTGGGTTTGAGTTTGGGGGTAATTGCCCTAAATGTTTAGGAATTTGGGGCCAAAAAGGGGCCAAAAAACAAGCAGTTTTCTAGTTTCCAGACAATAACTTGTGTTCGGATCTCTCTGAAATTGTACTGCAAGGTACTATACTATAAAGGGAAGGCTGGGATTGAGTTGTGGGGTGATGAATCATAAGGGGTTCAAAAAATTTGAGGGAAATTTTTTTTCCTTTTTTTTTCTTTAAAATTTTCCATTTTTAAAATGGTTATTTCTGATTTATATATAAAAGCAAATAATAATGATATGGTTTGAATAGGTAAATTAAGATTTTTAAGTTCTTAGACCACATTCATTCTTTGTCAGAAACCTATGCTGTGTCAAATATTTAATCACAATCCAAATTCAGTGCTGTATCAAGCTTGAATGTTGTGTCCATACTTGCCCCAACTGTTCAGGGTTCGACCGCTGCGGTCGTATCAAGCTGCGCCCAGCGGAGCATTTTATTAAGTTTTCAATCTATAAATATTGTTTATTGCCTTTTCTCTTGATTTTGAATAATCTACAGTTTGGAGCCTCATGTCACCATATTTGTGTCATTGTTTACTGCTTAACTTTTATTGTAAGCATCAAAGGTAATAGAGGAATAATAGTTTGTCAGTTAAAGGGTGTATGAAAAAATTGGATCACCTCGACCTATATTTTATGAATGATGGACTGATTAAGTTTTCAGTTGAGGTCAAATCCAGTGTTTCTTAAACCAATATTTATATGCAAGTATTTAAATGTTATGAAAAGTTCAATATAACTGCATTCATTTGGCGATAAAAATCTTCATGCAAAACATAATTTATCAATTTAAACATCTATAGTAATGAAGGTCCATGCAAAAACTGGATCACAATGGTCTACTTTTTACCCAAGTCTTTCTTGTTATATGTGTTATGGTCCAGAATCCAATCAAGCATATTGTATAAGTAAAACAGCTGTAATTTGTGACTACTCCATTTGTTAGTATTTTATGAAGCATCAATATATACAAGCAATTAGTAGAGTTTTTAGACCATTTATGGAAATTACGGTACTGTTTTCACACAAAAAAAAATTCTGATTAGAAAAAGAAAGTTTTATTTATCTCTCATTTATTATTAAAATGTAATCTTTTTGTCTTTTTCATAATTTTTTTAATCTAAAATTTTGATTCATTTATTTATTTTTTAGTGTCTTTGCAATTAAAACATTTTATGCTTATGCTTGTATGAACATTATTTTCACGAATATATTCACTTTTCATTCGGGATCAGTGCCTTTTTTCCTACACATTATTGTAATTTTCACATAGCTAGAGAGTATCAAAACCATTTGAAAAATGGGACATTTTGTAAAAAAAAAAATAGTTATATGTTTATAAACGCAAATCAATTCAATAATATTGCACATGGCTGGAGCAATGTTGCTGTACATGTAGTTTTGAAAGGCTGCAATGATAGTTGAAGGTTTTATGTCTACTTTTAGTTAGAATTTGTTTTTGAAAGTGGCAATATAGAATTGCCTTGAAATACTCTTTTATTGTCAATAAAAAAAGAAGTATTAATACATAGTAAGTCTGTTTTTTTTGACAGGTTTATTTTTTTTTCACATTTCTGGACCTAAAAAATATTATTGTCTAAATGAGTTTTCTTCCTTTTGAAAAATCTGGAACATTGACTACTTGGAAGTAACTATTTAATTTCTCGGGCGCATTGCATTTGCGCCAATTTTTACAAAATCCAATCTTTCATTTTCGCCACAAGGTTATATAACATTTGCGCCAAAAAATAAAAAGTTCATTTGTGCCATTTGACAGGTAATATATAACTGAAAAGTTTAAAATATTCATTGCTACATCGTAAATAAGATTTTTTTTAGTATCCCCCCTGGGTAACTAAGTAAGTGCATACTCATTTCTTAATTAAAACCAAGAGCCACTTAGGTATAAAACTATTTAGTGTTCACATGTTTGAGGTGTCAAGATGGACATTTTCAATTCTGAGACAAACAGGCCGTTTGTTTTCTCAATTGGATTGTTTCATTATGAGTTTTTTTCTTATTTTTGAAGGCTGTACGTTAATTTATAACAGAACTGTGTTTGAACATTATTATGAAAAGTCTCTTTTGAATAAATAATTTTTCATAATATTTACCTGTATTATTGCGCAAATGAAATGCGTTATTTTGGCACAAACGAAATATGGTTTGTGGCGCAATTGAAAGATTATTTTGGTGCAAATGAAATGTCAATTGGCGCAAAAGCAAAGCACTGAATTTCTCATGCCTAGAATTTAACAAATATTCTAATTAACACAAATTTTTTTTTATGAAAGGTTGAGTCACTGAGGAAGAGAAACAAGCCAATGTCAGTAAGAACAGCTGGAAGAGTAGGAAGATATGACAGACCTGCTACCATACCTATAAGTAATATTGGAGGTAATTTACACACAACAACCATATTTTGTATTTAACCATTTACAAGTGATATTGCAGTATTAGCAATACCCTTAAGTGTTGGAACTTACTTTTACCATTCTACTATGACTTTACCATACACCAATTTCATTGTCAATTTAGAAAGTATTTATCTTTGTAGTTTTCTCTAACATGGAAAATAAAATAAGCTATAGATGCTTTTTAGACAAATAAGAATCACACAAATCATAAGGATTAAAATTCTAAAGTAATTGAATATTTTGAGGGCTATTATAAAATCTGCAATTATGAAGAAAAGGCAATTTCTGCAAACAACATTTAAAAAAGATACCTGAAAGTAGAAATCTAATGGTGAAATTTATTAAAATAACCCATATGTAGAACAAATTTTTTTTGGGGTCCAACTTCTTTCACATAGTTTATGGAGTGATATGAAAAAAAAAATCATAAGTACATGTATATAATACTATGAATGTTGTAGTGCCAGTAACATCATCACCAAGGAGACGGCGGAGAGGGACATTTTCTGCTAAAGCGGCAAAACAGAAGTGGGATGCTATTGAGAAAAATGTGAGTATATTTCTATCATTCCCAAGTTATTTAGATCAGTGATATTTAATGTTTTGACAAGGTTAAGTAAAAAACAATTTCTTCAGGTTGTCTAAGGCAAGATATTTGTATTGAATGAAAAATCTGCATGTGGTTGGGTAAATAGACGAGACTGGAGGTGTCAAAGTTGAATGTGTGAAAAACTTGGTAAAGCCAAGGTCGGTAAATGCAAATTTTGGCTTACAATATTTTTTTTAATTATTTTATGTTGGTTTACTGCATGCAAGAGTTTCTTGAATTAATTCCCAGCTAAGGGAGATAAGCAAACCATTCTCAAAATTGTTCCTTTCGACAAATCAACTAATTTTACTTTACATTACAGATATCGTCTGTGATAACAAAGAAACAAACTATATCTAACATGGAGAAAGATATGGAAATATGGCTGAAACAGAGAGAAAAGACTTGTAAAAAAAGAGAAAAATATATGAAAAAGAGGGAAGGTGCTATTGCCTCTGGAAAGGTATATATTGTATAATGAATGTATAAAGGAAGTCAGAATACCCAAAGAATTTATATAAACACTTCAAGCCACTTTAGGAAATAAAAAAAAACCTGCTAACTTTTAATACTGCTGATAAAGGAGAAAAAGGTATGATAAGGCTTATTTTTGGCTCTTTGAATTTGAAATTCTAAAGTGTTTTGAATCTATCAAATAACATATTTTAGATGTTTACGAGACAGAAGTATTTCTTAAATCACTATTTATATGCTTGAATTTTGACTTGCATATTTGCCTTTGGGCTTCAAACTTCTTTCATTTTAAAGAGAAACTGCCAAAATAGCCTCATTTTGAGATTTTGAAGAACAAAGTCCTTTCTGGTTATTTATGTTATTTGGTTGCCATCTCATAGAGCTATACACACTTTCTTTTTTAATTAATTATTATTTTATTTTGCACAATATAATGTGTGATTTTATGTTTTCCTTCAGGAACCAGCTGTGATAAAAGATTTAAACGATGTTATAGAACATCTGAGTAATCAAGTTCTAGTGGCTCAGGAAAACATCACTGAATGTCAGGCTAATGTCATGCAAATGGAAGAAACTAAGGTAAGTTACATCATACCTATTTATAGACCATCTGAGTAATCAAGTTCTAGTGGCTCAGGAAAATATCACTGATTGTCAGGCTAATGTCATGCAAATGGAAGAAACTAAGGTAAGTTACATCATATCTATTTACAGAACATCTGAGTAATCAAGTTCTAGTGGCTCAGGAAAATATCACTGATTGTCAGGCTAATGTTATGCAAATGGAAGAAACTAAGGTAAGTTATGTCATACCTACACTCCATGTTAGGAAACTTACACACAATGCTCATTACCACCAAACACAGATTAAGGTGGAATTTGTGGGACGTTACTTTCACTGTTAGTATGTAAAAATAAGAAGCTTTGAAATGATTACCAATGAGACAACTCTTCACCAGAGACCAAATGACATAGAAGTTAACAATTATAGGTCACCGTACGGCCTTCAACAATGAGCAAAACCCATACTGCATAGTCGGCTACAAAAGGCCCCAAAATGACAAAAGTAAAACAATTCAAACGAGAAAACTAACGGCCTGATTTATGTACAAAACAATGAACGAAAAAAACAAATATGATATACAGCAACAAATGACAACCACTGAATTACAGGCTCCTGACTTTAGACAGGCACATACAGAATGTGGAAGGATTCAACAAGTTTGTAGGAGCCAGACCCTCCCCTAACCTGGGATAGTGGTGTAACAGTACATCATAAGAACAAACTATAAAAAACAGTTGAAAAGGGACTTAACTCATCAGATATTCCTTTATAAATTGAAAAATTCTATATTTAATGGAAATATTTGATTTAGCTAATATAAAAATGCTGGGTGACATTATTTTTGGTTACATATATTGAAGTAAGGGTTGTTCCATTAAAACATGTATGAGACCCAAGGAAGGCACTTTGAAATTTCAACTACTGGTAGGAGGAAAAGTACTGTGAAAATGTAAGTGAAAATCTAAATTTGCCTCTACAGGTGGTTTTCCCCATTTTGAAGGTGCCTCTCTTCAGTACCATGTATGTTTTAAATGGAATAGCTCTTAGTATACCTTTTGATCAGGAAAATAGTTAGAAAATAACAAAATAACATCCCTCTAATATAGCTGCAAGATGCGATCTTTAGTTTATCACTGACAACCTTCCAGAAACTTTTAAGATGATGAACAGCAATGCATTTTTTTTAATGAGATTTTTGTCATGCTTGCATCAACCTGATCTCTTTTTTTTTTTTAATTACTATAAATTATCTTCTTTATGTAATTTGTACAGGATGAAGCAGAAGTCATAGATGTCTCAACTGTTGTAAACAAATGTGGATTAGATGAAGCTCAATATCTGTTGGAACACTTTATACAAATGAGTATAACTAAGGTGTGTATACTCATAATTTGATAAGAATACTGGGGATTCATTTATTTTCACGGGTACCAATTTCGTGGATAAGGAAAAACGTACATCTCCGTGGATATTTAATTTCAAGGTTTTGCTAAAGTGTGCATACAAGCCTAAAAAATTTGGCAATTCATAGAACATCGTTCACCTGTTCCCACAATATCAAAGAAAATGGTATCCAACGAAAAAATAATGAATTACAGCACTTTATTAAATTTGCATTCATAAACTTGAAAGAGATTTTCTGGGGCTGGCATAATTTCTTCTGCTAGTTTATAGTATTTATGCCCCCCCCCCCGTTCTCTAACTTAAGTTAGCCTCAACCAAATGTTATGAAACTTATACACAATGCTTATTACCACAAAATGCAGATCAAGTTTGAATTTTGGTGGTGTCACTTTTACTGTTCTAGAGTTATACCCCTTTACAAATGGAAAAATTTCTGAATTTTTCGTTTCCGTTCTCTAACTTAAGTTTGCTGCAACCACAAGATGAAAAGAGAAATAAAGGTGTAAATACAATAGAATAATTATTGTTTCTATTTCAGGGTGTAGCATTGTCACAGAAAGATGCAGAGATTCGAGAGCTTCAAGCCCAGCTTCATCAGACAGAACTAAACAACACATTACAACAGGATCTGTTGAAACACATGATTAACGATAGGGTTGATATTGAGGTCGATAATCTGATGACCAATGCTACTGATGGTATGTTAGGTGTGTAACAGGGAAAGCTAGTTTGTTTTATGAAATAACATCAAATTTGGATATCCAAATAGCTTAAATGCAAAATTTTCTTTCACAACATAATTTACAGGTTAAACAATTGGTACTTAATCATTGCATAAAGCCATGTACTCTTTCCTCTTGACACTCTTCACTGGGCTTTTGGGCTTGTTGTTAATTGTGAAAACTGTATTGATTACAAAGGGCACATGGAACAATAATTTTAATCTATGAGTTTATCATTTTAAAATAACATAATTGAAAATTTCTCAATGGCTATGTAAAAAGACTTTCCAACATAATTTTTTTCAATTTTTCAAATTTTTCAGAAAACATGGTAATATATTTAATATGAAGATAATCCATGTTTTTGTAGGATTCATATTATTTTGATCAATCTGAAGGGAAAACTGCTAAGATGGGAAACAAATTGAATTTTTTAGTTCATCAGATTTTTATCTAGATATAATTAACCCAGATCTTATCATTATCATTTTTGAAAGGGAAGAAATATGGAATATTATTTGTTTTGTTGTTTATTGTTTAACAGTTATCAGGAAAAGTATGTATAACCTCTGATTAAAAAATGTAAAAACTGGAGAAGGTTGCTTTTAACTTTTGTTGTGCTTACAAGTAGATTTTATTGCAATAATTCTTTGCTTATTATACTGAATGAACACAACCTATTAAGTGGCTTGTGGAACTGAGTGAATGAATTCATTGGATTGTTTGCTGTGCAATTTACTTGATTAAAAACATACTCTGATCTGTGCTTGTGTAATATTTCTCAAATAATTCTCTGATGAATTAAATATAAAGAATGTTGAATGAATGGACAGAAGTCTTTATTCCAATCATGGCTGTAAAGTTTCTCTAATATAATATTATTCATCCAGATACATTGATAAGGTTGTACGTGTAGATCAAAAAGCATGTATCTGCTTCTTTTCAAACTTTTCTTTAATGTCTTTAGCTAAGTCTAATGAAAACCATCTTTCTACATCTGGCTGATAATATTGATATTGCTTTTATAAAACGTTATAGAATATTTCCAAACATGACAAACAGCAACCAATGACAACCACTGAATTACAGGTATCAAACTTGGGACAGGTACATTCAGAATGTTGAGGTGTTAAACATGTTTGTGAGCACTCAATCCTTCCCTTACCTAAGATTGTGGTGTGACAGCAGATTATAAGAGTGAAGAAACCATAAAAATCAGTTGGAAATTGCTTGACTCATCAGACTGGAATATAAGTTGGCTAAAGATTAAATGAAAAACTATTGAAAGTGTGGACAAGCAGTGAAAATAATTCAAATAAATATTTAAGGCATTTTAATATGAAAACATAATGTTTTTTTCTGTGTTTTTCATAGATTTAGAAAGTTCTACAGATTCATCCTCATCATCTCCTGCAGAAAGGTATGTGTCGTCTGCTAATGATTTGATTTTAGATTTAGACTGCATAAATATTGCATTAGGACTGATTTTAAAAATAATTTGAATGAATTGTCTTGTAGTTTAATATAACATTGTAGAACATTAAAAATTTTATAAATACAAATACATGATGATTGACAGAAAGTAAGGCTCTTTGGAAGAAAGGAAGACATTATAAAGGAAGCACGTTTGTAATGTTATAGTGCACATGCCTTCTGTAATTTCTACCATCCAATTTGCTTTTATTTTTGGCAGTTGTTATGTGTTTTGTTTCATCCTGTAAGTAACTAAAGAATTGAATATACTGCTATTATTAAAATATTTCTGAAAAAGAATTAACAATATATTTTGGCTCATAGCACCTATTTTTCAAATTATTTTGCTAGATTCAATGAAAAGATAACTTTAAAGGTGCAATCTTAAAAAAACTGAATGTTCCTATACATGTATATATAATAAAAGAAATTGTTAGTTTAAGGGATACAAGCAGACATATATCTTTAGATGTACAGCATGAACATTGCATATTGAGCATTATATGTTGAAATTAAATCAAGTTATTAAAGTATTAAAACATTTGACTTGGAATCTTGCATAGAAATTTGACAGCATGAATTGTTGGTGTTGGTTATTAAAAATAGGCTACAATTATTTTTCATTGTATCAAAGTTACATGTCCATACATATTTTTATTTAGCATATCTTGTCACAAGTCTCAAGATTCCTCTCATATTTGTTTAAGATTATTTTTGATGAGTTTGCTCTGAGAATTCAATATCTATATAATTACTCGAATAGTATAAATACAAGTAATTTTTATTATTCAAATTTGGAATGCAAAATTCAGTGTTAACTACTTCAATTATGATTTTTTTTTAAATATGTAAAATAACATGTTTTTGAAATAATGGGAGATAACTGTGTCTGTTGCACAGATGAAAATTTATTTTTGGTTATTCATTTTTGACAAAGATAAGATTATTGCATTGTTGAAATTCTTTTATGTAGAACACTTTTTGGTAGTATTCACAAATACAGTGAAGCTGAGAAAATTCAACTTGCATTATTGTTTCATTCAATTCTTAATATTCCTACATCGCTTGATGGCATTGCAAATGATCTTTTTTGATATTGTTAGGTGTAATGTATACAGTCAAAACCTGCTATAAAGTCACCTGTTTAAATTAGAACCTGTATATCAGTTCTGACTTCTTTTTCTGGTACAGAAATACCTCTGCATTTTGAACCTCAAGTTATAGGTCATCTCTATTATAAAGTCAGTTTTCCCTGGTCGGAAGGGTGACCTTTATATACAGGTTTGACTGTATTGTTAAGATATTTTTAATTATGAAAAGTTATTATTGAGCAATACATCAGAATAAATAAAAAAAAAAATATCTCTTGATTGAAAATGTTATAACATGCATAATGTTGTAGTTTGTTTTGGAAGGGAAATCACGGATGGCGGTATAAAAATGTACAAATATGAGATGGCGAGGAAAAGAAAATTTAGAAAATAATTTAATTTTACTTATAACATATATTTATTATTCAACAAGTTTTTAATATTCAAAAGGCATTTCTATCCTATTTAATGCATTCAGATAGAAATATCTTATCGGATATATATGAAAGTAGAAATATGAATCTAATTTTTACATGAAAAGTTGAGGAGTTTTATTTAATTGAAGTTTTGTCCTAAAGTTTAACTATTTGAAGATATGTCTTTATACCCTATAAATGGACTTTAATATACTGCATTGTAGCTGTTGATAAATTTTCAAAAGAATATTCTATAAGAATTTATAGATATTATAAAGGAGTTTTTGAAACTTTTAGTAATGTACAAACAAAGATCAGGTACGTAACGGTATATGTAGGGTGTTTGATTAAATTAGATACACTAGTAAACAATGATCTGGAAGGCTATTTATATCCGTACTTTGGATTCATATATTGTCATGGATACCAATTTTTTTTGATTGAGGAAAAATTGTATTTCGTTGATGCTTGATTTTGTGGTTTTGCTTAATTCTGCATCTAAGCCTATAGAAAATTTGTACTTCTTTGAACATCTAAATTTCGGGGTTTACATATATACCTTTGTAATACACAAAAATTGGTATCCGACAAAATATAATGGATCCACCGTATGTATACAACATCTCTTTCTGCTATACAAGATTTTACAATTATTATGTTTTATGCCTATCAAGCAATACAATCTGAGATTTGTAACTATTTGACTTTCTTATGTACCTGCAAACACTACAGAACAAGTGAAATCAGGAACCTTATTCTCAAAGCAAAGCATTCATAGGCTAACAAGGTCTATTCAAAATTTGAGGGATTTTTGCATTCAGGTATGGATTCAAATTGCTTGAAAAAGAGCTTAAGAGTTTTCAGTATTGTTTAGTTATTGTCATTAAAACAAAAGATTAATTGAGAATATGGAATATGATATTAATAAAATAGTTGATGGAAGTAGAATTTTGGCAATTTTCTAAAAAAAATTCTTGTGATCTTTTTGTATGATAAATCTCATGCTACTAGACTTAGATGGATGATTTCTCATTTGATGGCATCTTAACACCAACATTATGTAACAGTACGTTTATGTTGTCTAGGAAAATAATGATAAAAATATCATTGATGGTCTTGAAAACTTGTGGAAGTTATCACCCTTGGATTAGATTGAAGACGAAAAAAACTCCCTCTTGATTTTAAAACCATCAACTATCTTTTTTATTACCAAAAAAATAACCGTTGTATTAAAAAACAGTGTCAGATGAGATTCCAAATACATTGATAGTTTGTAGTTGTTTACTTTGAATAAGGGAGATAACCAGCTGCTTCCGTTTTAACAAGTCACTTCAAGTGTCAACAGATAGCTATAATTCTACAACTTTGTATCTCTGGAGCTGAATTGGACTGTTGATAAAATCTCAGCTGTTGCTTAGAATTAATCATTGTTGTTGATAGAATTTTATAAGCCTTCTCAGATCAGCATTAGTTTACTAGTGTTTTCTTTTAGACTATTCATAAACATATACATGTATAATAGAAAGCTCAACTTATAAAATGCATCCATTTAATCCAGAATTTGGGTTTAAATATCTCATAAAATGCACAGTATTTATTAATTATATTGTGTCACAAATCTGCATAATACTGACCCATGCTTAATTATAATGCTGTAAAGTTTGGACATAATTTTCTGCTTTGCAGAATTGCTGTTCATTGAAAATAATGTTTTAATTTTACCAGTTGCAACAGCTAATTCATGAAACATTTATTTTAACTGCTATCATTATAATTATCAATTATTTCATCAGTTCATTTATATTAAAGAATTTAAACATGACATAACTAGCAGTTGCATAAAAATGTTAGTGGACAACTTCTTATTTACATTCAATTATTGTTTAAAGGAATTATCCCCTCCAATTATTTAGGTAACCAAAACATTATAAGAATGTCTGGATTGAAGTCTCTGAAAATATTTGAGGCCTTTTTATGCCCCAGCCGTAGGCGACAGGGGCATTAAGTGTTACCATTGACCGTCCGTCCGTCTTTCTGTCTGTCCCTCCATCCCATTTTTATTGCAAAGCTTGAGCGAGCCATTCGTGTCCTCCGACATATTCTTCTTTTATTTATCTATTATTTTAATTTTTTTGCCTGTTTTTCTATTTTCCTATTACTTGTTTTTTTCCGGGTCCCTTTTTTCTCTATTCCCTATTCTTTAAATCTTGTGAGTCCTCCTATTTATGTCACTGTCCTATATTCCCTCATTTTCCAGGGGCAGTGTAAATTTCCCGACCTTCCTCCTGGTCTACCCATCTATAGTATTTATTGGTAATTTGTTCTCGTCCTGAACATGCATCAGATATTTGCCACTGGACAAAAAAACAAACAAGAGTGAATCAATCCAATTGTTATCATCAACTTTTCAACTTATAGCAATCAATTAATTAGGATAATGATTTTTATTATTCTCCACCTAAAAGTTAAAGTGTGTTGACAAGTCTTAAGGTGCAGTTAAAACATTTATTATGTCTGAAAAGTTTGTACCCTTCTCTTCTAAGATAATGAAATTATCTCGTCTCACAAGGATTATATTTTTTCAAACTGAAAAGATTTGATTTTGATGGCAGGACAAGTTTTTTTTGTACAAAACAAATTTTGTTTATGATATTCAGGTATTTTGAAACCTATATCTTTTAGCAGTTTCTTAAATTTTGTATATAAATGTGAAAATGTCTGTGGTTTGGGAAAAGCATCTTTCTACTTATCAATGTTACGGTATAATATATCTATAATAATTTTGGTGAAGCGAATTAATAAGCCATCCTTTATTTTTCTTCCAAGAATGCATTTGTGAAGGGTTAGCTTATACTAATAGCAGACTAACAAAAGTCACTGTAAATAATTATGTAAAGACAAAGGAACTTTTAATCTTGACTCATTTCTGTGAAGTTTACTTGGGTTCCTGTCTTATTGAAATATACTCATTTATTTACATTAAAAATTTGAAAGTAGATATGCATTATAGATTCAGTGCATGATAGAAATTTTCTTTTGATTTTGTACTTTACAGTAATGGCGTTTTATTTTAAATTGAATATATCAAAGAATATTTTATTGTTTATGTAAAAATGAGTACATCTTTAGGCTCAATGTATAAAATTGATTTCAGTACTGTTTGGTTTACTTTTACAATATATGTATTCAGTACTGGCTTTTTGAAACAGACATTTCTGAAAAATTTTCAATGAAGACCAAAAACTTTATAAAAAAATAAAAAAAGAAGAAATTTCAGATCTGTTTGGCTGTCATTTATAAAAATAAATTGCAAAAAAAGTAATTCATATGACTACAAGAAAATTAACTGCAGTGGAAAATTGATATAGAAAATTTAAATGAAGTGATTTGAATTTATTGAACATTTTTTTTTATCTGGTGTCTTGACCAAAATAACCCATCTTTCAATACTTCAATTAAACAAGTTCCTTTGGCTTATTTTACTAATATTAACTAACAAAACAATACATAACAACACTGATTTGATTTCTTGTTTTTAGAAAACTAATTTAGTGTTTTTTCCCTTTCTATTTTCCTCCTTGCTGCGGAACACCACCACTCCTAACAAACATGGCTGGGTTTTATCTCTCTGTAGTGACTTTTGTTGCTTTGCTGTAGTCACCATTTTGTGCTTTTTACTGTTGGAAATCTTCTGGGTGTGATGACCTTCACATTCAGGAGGTATGTTACTATTTTTATCTTACTTTCATTTTCAGTTTTAACACTTTATGATTAAGTTAGAGAACCCTTGTAGTTTCCTTTTACATTGTGTATAATATGTACGAATTTCTTTTAATGTCTTCCAAATGTGACAATATTGAGTGGGCACTAAAAATACCTAACAATTTCTGTTAAAATAATCTAAAACTTCAATTTTTTATGTGGATTTAAAGCATATAGGCTTACAAAGCAAGCATTGAAGTTAACAATACCTCTAAATGCACAAATTGTAAATTTTGAACTTTTGATTGACAGATAATAAATTTTTATCTGATTGACAGAAATTACATTTATTCCCTTTTCTTTTTTGTATCATCTACTTTTATGTCATTTAATAACGGGCTGGTCAGATGTGTCATTCATTTTAGCAGCGAGAAAAAGTCATGTTTGGAAGTTAGTTCTTTATATCTTTAAATGTTAACTAAACTCAATGTTTTTAGTTTCTTTTTAAAATAAGTTAACAGTCTAGAGTGATGTTAATTCCTCCTTGTTCCTTATATGATTGATTATTAACTGTTCAAGACATTGTTTGTGATTATTAACTGTTCAAGATGTGTATGGATAATAGGAGCTGAACCAATAAGAGTCTCATTTTGTGAACCCTAATAAGATTTTATTCATCCCTTGATAACAGATAACATTTCAACCTTTCATCTATCCTTCCCTTTGCATAAAGTTGACTTTATTCTACCCTAATCCAAGACATTATTGAAATTATGAAATGAAATTATATTAACCCCTGTGCCGAAATAAAGACATTATCTGTTCATTTCATAATAGAGCCTTCCTGTATTGGCGAAAGTTAACAGCATAAACTACCCAATCAGAGCATGAATTGACTCTTGAATCTTGACTTCAAAGAGATCTTTGTAAAGTATTCATTGATGGTAGAACACTGGTAATAATACCAGTCCAGTTCTTTGTACAAAGTTTCATTCTTGTACACTGGTACCAGTTGTGGTTGTTCAACATAGAACCATCATGGAAATACTGCTACCAGTTGTGATTGTTCAACATGGAACCATCATGGAAATACTGGTACCAGTTGTGGTTGTACAACATGGAACCATTCTGGAAATACTGGTACCAGTTGTGGCTGTACAACATGGAACCATTCTGGAAATACTGGTACCAGTTGTGGTTGTACAACATGGAACCATTCTGGAAATACTGGTACCAGTTGTGGTTGTACAACATGTAACTGGTATCTAGTATGCTCATTAACCAAGAAATTGAGCATACCAGTATTTCATATATAGGACTTATAAAATCATAAATCTGCCATTGATATACTGTTAAAGCAATGCTGACTTTTTACAGACTAATAGAACTTCCACCGATATCTCCGACAAAGGTAATATTTTAGTCGTTCCTTTCCAAAGATTAAACCATTATTTCTGTTAGTTTTTTTATCTGGTGGGCAAAGTTTGCATGAGGGAAGGACCATTCCACTGTATCATTTGTATCAACCAAGGGATATGTTTTTCAGTATTAGCTGGTATTTGAACTACTTGAAACACGTTTTAAAACTTCTGCTGATCTACAGAAAATAGCAGCTTCAGTTAATACTAGTTAGAAATGGATGATGTATGAATCATAACCTTTAAATTTATTGTATTCTCTGAAAAAAAGAAACAAATTGCTGTTTAATTTTCAATTCAATATTTATTTCATAAAATTTTGTTAGATTGACTGGACATTTTATGATTTTTTTTTCTTTGATAATATATAGTTTTTATACTTTTGAATGGTTTTGTATAGTTTTATGAGTAGTTGTATTTAAAAAGAAATGTTGTAAAGACATATAGTTCTTAATTTCTGTGTCATCTGGTCTCTTGTGGAGAGTTGTCTCATTGGCAATCATACCGCATCTTCTTATTTTTATATATACTAAAAATTCAAGAATGTGATGTTCTTTTTATTGTTAAAATATTATTGGATGAGTATCACAATAATTAAAACTTGCATTTTGATTTTAGCTTGAAATAGTCTGTAATTAAAGTGGACTTTATTACAATGTACTAACTCACACATTGATATAAGTTGTTGAAAAGTTTGCCATAAATATAAACATGCACGAAGTTTTGATCAATTGTTGCTTAATGTCCAGTGACAAATATATCATGCATATATTTGACAATCGTGAAATTTAGAATTAATATTACACTGTAGTATTCACTGAAGTTGCTATCAAATGTTAGTTACTTTATTTTAGCTGTCATTTTCTTTTTTAGTTTTACATTCTGCATGGTTTAATTTGGCTTTTTATTTTTATTTTCTGTTTGGATTATTTCCCTTGGCTACAACAGCATGTTTGAGAGTAAGGTGTCGACTGCTGAGTTACCAGGGCAACCAACAGGAGGTGATCAGTCTAAAAACTTATCAAAGGTAACAACCATATTATCATTTGCATAATCATTTTGATACTAGAAATGGATTCCAAGGCATATTTGCTGGAATAGATAGTAAAAACATTGTTTGTGTATTGTTGATTGTAGCATGATCATTTGTATCTTTGTAGTCAATTTGCATAAAAAAAACTATGGAGATGCTAGGACTGACAAATACTCATGTTATTGTTGATTGATGGTAAATATTTTTGGATAAATTGTTTGAATATATATGTACAGTTCAAAGTTACAAAATTAGAGATTTTAATTTGGCATGTTTCATTTATTTGGGACCAATGAATAAAATTTTTAGTCTTTGGTTTGATCACTGATATTTACTATCTGCATGTAGGTTTTTTCATGAAGTTGATCATTTGCTGTATACAAAATTGCTTGAAGAAAAATGTGCAATTGTTTGAATTAAAGGACTATATCATTATAATTGAGCATCCAAATAGGGAAATGACATATTTGCAGGCCAAAATACAAAGCAGTGGCATGAGTATTTGTTTCAATAATGTATTGCCCTGCTGCATAGCGATTTAAAGCTCATTACACATTATTTAGATGTGCCACTCACATGGTAGAAAGACGTCTAGAAAGAGCCATCTTTGCCCTTTGCCATCAGCCACCATATTGCTATGATGGCTTCCCAACTCAGGTATTCTGCCAGTGTTGTTATATTTCATTTGAATTTTCAGGTATATTATAACTCGTGTTGTGGTATCTAGTTGATTTCTCTATATTTTATATAATTTCTAGATAAATGTATTTAACTTTGATTCTCATACTGTGGCTTTATTTAACTTTGTGGGTACCAATTTTCGTGGAGTGAGGGAAAAATTGTATTTTGATAGATATTTGATTTTGTTGTTTTTCCAAAGTCTGCGTACAAGTATATAGAAATTTTGTACTTCATTTAACATTTTTAGCCCTGGTTCTTCTATATATAACAACCACATCCACAAAATTGGCCGCCTAAGAATAATAATGAACCCACAGTATTCTATTTCTGTTCATGATATCTTTTCCTCCCAATATAGGTAAAGGTCTGTTGCTGTATCTCCAAAAAAAAATGTTCCACTTAATAACATCTAAGTTTAATTGGTCAAATTTCATATAAGTGGTTTACATCCATTCATAAAATAAAATTGAAATCCTCTTGATCCTATTTTTAAAGCCACATACAGCATATTAGTTGTACCTTTTGATGTAAAAATGAAATGTTAAATATAGTCCAAAAATTACTTTCAGCATGTATGAATAATACTTAAAAAGTTCCTTATAAAGAAAAATTAATTATATAAAATTAAAAATCAGGTTTAGGAAGGATAAATTTCTGTAGTCTTGAATCTATATTCAAACATTTATAATGGAGAGAAAAGATTTTTTTGCATGGATGAAAAGTGGAATTTGTTTAGGCCACCCTTGAAAACTTCTTTGTTTGATGTTGCCTACCCATACTTTGTAGGGTTGGGTAGGAAGGTTGAGATTTTTTTTTTTTTTTTTTTTGCCAACAGCAAAAGTTACATGTTTTAGACAAGAAAACGAAGTGAAAGCAGGAAAATTTAAAAAAAATAAAATTTGAAACAATTTGTATCATAAAATTTTTTGGTTAGATAGGCATCATCAAACAATTTAAATTTTATTTTAGGCCTTAGAAATATGTGTATTTTGTTGCTGAAAATAACTGTAATGAAATATCCCTGATTCATTTATCATACTAGTATTATCATACTGGTATTGTCCGTGGTTTAAAAAAAATCTATTTGTTTTTTTTATTTTAAACTTTTCTAGATATTACTCATATGTGTCCTGCTTAATATTTCATTTGTCTGATTGTTGTATTTAATTTTGATATTTAAAAAATCATAATTATCTTTTTTTTTATAATTAATATATGGTTGAGGACGCTCATGCAACAATAACACAGCTAAGTAGGATTAATAGAGAGTTGAAGTAAAAGTTTTGACACAATCTTAGTAAACAACAGTTGATTTTTCCATGCTGAGATCGCTTAGCTACTTATTCAGGACATTTATATGACAGATTTGCATCCCATGTTATTATAATTGATTTTTCTTAGTTTTGAAAGGGCAAACCTGATTTGTATCATTTTAGTAGGCATCATGTGACCATACAGAGCTTCATGAATCTCATTTTTAGCTCACCTGGCCCAAAGGGCCAAGTGAGCTTTTCTCATCACTTGGCGTCCGTCGTCCGTCGTCCGTAAACTTTTACAAAAATCTTCTCCTCTGAAACTACTGGGCCAAATTTAACCAAACTTGGCCACAATCATCATTAGGGTATCTAGTTTAAAAAATGTGTCCGGTGACCCTGCCAACCAACCAAGATGGCCGCCATTGCTAAAAATAGAACATAGGGGTAAAATGTAGATTTTGGCTTATATCTCTGAAACCAAAGCATTGAGAGCAAATCTGACAGGGGTAAAAATGTTTATCAGATCAAGATCTATCTGCCCTGAAATTTTCAGATGAATCGGACAACCCGTTGTTAGGTTGCTGCCCCTGAATTAGTAATTTTAAGGAAATTTTGCCGTATTTGGTTATTATCTTGAATATTATTATAGATAGAGATAAACTGTAAAAAGCAATAATGTTCAGCAAAGTAAGTTCTACAAATAAGTCAGAATGACCAAAATGGTCAGTTGACCCCTTAAGGAGTTATTGCCCTTTTATAGTCAATTTTTAACAAATTTTCGTAAATTTTTATCTTTTACAAAAATCTTCTTTGAAACTACTAAGATGAATTTAACCAAAGTTGCAAACAATAATCATTAGTGTATGTAGTTTTAAAATTGTGTCTGATGACCCTGCCCGCGAATAAGATGGCCGACATGGCTAATAATAGTACATAGGGTAAAATGCTGTTTTTGGCTCATATATCTAAACCCAAAGCATTTCGAGCAAATCTTTCAAAACAAAATTGTTCATTAGGTCAAGATCTATTTGCCCTTAAATTTTCAGACCATTCAGGCAACCCGTTGTTGGGTTGCTGCCCCTGAATTGGTAATTTTCAGAAATTTTTTCAGCTTTTGGTTATTATCTTGAATATTATTATAGATAGAGATAAACTGTAAACAGCAATAATGTACAGTAAAGTAAGACCTACAAATAAGTCAACATGACCAAAATGGTCAATTGACCCCTTAAGGAGTTATTGCCCTTTATAATCAATTTTTAAAAATTTTCATAAATTTTGTAAATTTTTACAAAATAATTTTCACTGAAACTACCGGGCCAAGTTCATTATAGATAGAGATAATTGTAAGCATCAAGAATGTTAAGTAAAGTAAGATCTACAAACACATCACCATCACCAAAACACAATTTTGTCATGAATCCATCTGTGTCCTTTGTTTAATATGCACATAGACCAAGGTGAGCGACACAGGCTCTTTATAGCCTCTAGTTTTAAAAAGCACTTTCTCATACTGTAAATTCTGAAATTATTGCTAGGTTTTTGTCGAGCCTGCGACTTTTGTCGCAGAAAGCTCGACATAGGGATAGTGATCCAGTGGCGGCGGCGTTAGCTAACTTCTTAAAAGCTTTATATTTTAGAAGGTGGAAGGTCTGGATGCTTCATACTTTGTATATGGATGCCTCATGTTACGAAGTTTCCGTCAGTCACATGTCCAATGTCCTTGACCTCATTTTCATGGTTCAGTGACTACTTGAAAAAAAAGTTAAGATTTTTTGTAATGTTAGATTCTCTCTTATTATAAGTAATAGGATAACTATATTTGGTATGTGCGTACCTTGCAAGGTCCTCATGCCCATCAGACAGTTTTCACTTGACCTCGACCTCATTTCATGGATCAGTGAACAAGGTTAAGTTTTGGTGGTCAAGTCCATATCTCAGATACTATAAGCAATAGGTCTAGTATATTCGGTGTATGGAAGGACTGTAAGGTGTACATGTCCAACTGGCAGGTGTCATCTGACCTTGACCTCATTTTCATGGTTCAGTGGTTATAGTTAAGTTTTTGTGTTTTAGTCTGTTTTTCTTATACAGTATGCCATAGGTCTACTATATTTTGTGTATGGAATGATTGTAAGGTGTACATGTCTAGCGGGCAGGTGTCATCTGACCTTGACCTCATTTTCATGGTTCAGTGGTCAAAGTTAAGTTTTTGAGTTTTGGTCTTTTTTTCTAATACTATATGCAATAGTTCAACTATATTTGGTATGTGCCTACCTTGCAAGGTCCTCATGCCCGTCACACAGTTTTCACTTGACCTTGATCTCATTTCATGGATCAATGAACAAGGTTAAGTTTTGGTGGTCAAGTCCATATCTCAGATACTATAAGCAATAGGTCTAGTATATTCGGTGTATGGAAGGACTGTAAGGTGTACATGTCCAACTGGCAGGTGTCATCTGACCTTGACCTCATTTTCATGGTTTAGTGGTTATAGTTAAGTTTTTGTGTTTTGGTCTGTTTTTCTTATACTGTATGCCATAGGTCTACTATATTTTGTGTATGGAATGATTGTAAGGTGTACATGTCTAGCTGGTAGGTGTCTTCTGACCTTGACCTCATTTTCATGGTTCAGTGGTCAAAGTTAAGTTTTTGAGTTTTGGTCTTTTTTTCTAATACTATATGCAATAGGTCATCAATATTTGGTGTATGGAAATATTTTATGATGTACCTGTCAGTCTTGCAGGTTTTATTTGACCTTGACCTCATTTTCACGGTTCATTGCTCAGTGTTAAGTTTTTGTGTTTTGGTCTGTTTTTCTAATACTATAAGCAATAGGTCAACTATATTTGTTGTATGGAAGGATTGCAAGCTGTAGTACATGTCTGCCTGGCATTGTTCATCTGACCTTGACCTCATTTTCTTGGTTCATTGGTCAATGTTTAGTTTTCTTGGTTAAGTCTGTATCTTAGAAACTATAAACAATAGGTCAACTATATTTAGTGTATTGAATGATTGTAAGGTGTACATGTATTTCTTGTTTGGTTTATATGACCTTGACCTCATTTTCTTGGATCATGTTAAGTGTATGTGATAGTTGTAGTAAAGCTTTATATTTAGGACTATCAACATAATATCAATGATTAGTAAAGAAGGCGAGACATTTCAGCATGTGCACTCTTGTTATTAATGCGAAAAATGCGACTGGGTGAGTATAAAAAGACGTCACATTTTGATATCATGTACATATAACTAATTCTGTATGCAGCTTTTCTTGTAATGGCAATATCTATTGTCACATTTTTGTCCACTCTTTAAAAAATGCAATAAAAAATTCAGACAACAATTTCTGAATTTACACTATTCATTAACTTTTTCAGGTTTAAAACCTGCTTAATCACATGTGCATAAATGTGTACAGGTATATAAAAAGATAGTTTTCTGCTTCCACATCTCAATTAATTTCATTTCACATGTCCGTTCGAAGTATTCATTATGACAAGATGTGTCATTTGTTCAATATATTTTACTTCAACCAACAAAATGCAAAATCTATATCATTTTCATAGAGGTGTTTGGGCACACAAATTAAAAATAACGTATATATATAGTAGAGAATTGTTTTTAATCTTTAGGACTTATTACGTAGGCCGGTAAGTAAGACTAACTGCACATACTTTGTATATAATATTAACATATTGTGTATTACAAAATATCATGCACATGTACAAAATATACCAACCACTAAAGAAAAGTGTACAGTAGAGAATCACAATTACAGTGGGTGTTTTTTTGTGAGGAAATTTTTTCTCACGACAGATTTCTTTTACTAGGATGTGTGATAGTGGCAATTTTGGTGTTTTTTGCAGAATTTATTTTCCTAGGCCACCAGGCCATGACAATGGTTTCAAAAGTTAAAGAATAAGTTTTTATGAACAGGGACATATTTAAAAATTGTATCAAACAAAATAATTCTTAAAAACATAATGCAATTTTGTTTAAAATGTACAGTTACAGGTATAAGATTAAATTAAATGGCTTATATATTGTAAATGTGCCAATAATTCCACACTAATAAAGGGAGATAACTTTAATAGCTTTACAAATCATAGGACAATTTTTTGTTGATAAAGAAATCTGTATATAGATACTTTTGACATGACTAGTAATGATGTAGAATTAACATATTTTGTTTCAATTATGAATTACAAAATTTAGAATTCCTGTTTTTAACATTATTTCCTTTAGAAGTAGACATGGTAGAATTACAATATTTTTCAATTCTAGAGTAATACCTAAATCTTCACCTTCAAAGGCTTTTTAAAAAAATCTCTGGCAAAATAGCAACTAGTCTTGTGCAACATTTCACAATTATAGACATCCTGAACATGATACCCTATTACACTGAAACCTTTTCACAATTATAGTTGTCCTGATAATGGTACCCATTTTTACTTGGAAATTATCTTAATCAATTTTAAACCATTTTGGGACAAAATTTTATTTAGATTTCATAGCTGGTCAGTTTATAATGATGGTTAAATTACAAAAGGATATTATTCAATGTTTGTTTTGATATGAAGGGTCAGTTCTTACCGGTTCCTGGTTTACTTAGTGTCTGGTATAGACAAGTTTCAATGTATGTCACCTTTTGTTGAGAAAGTGCAACTCTTTTTGCAAGTTGAAGAACCCTTTCTGCAACTCTTTCAGGTCTCTGTGAGTGGCCTGTTGCAATGCCAAATCTTCCCCTATCCAACATAACCTCTTTCCAGTGGCAGTCCAAATTTTCTGCCTGCCATTCAGTGGACCCATTTCACATTACTCACTTTTAATACCTACCTACAATAGAAGAGGGGCTTTATGTTTTCAAGTCTGTCCATCCGTCTGACTGTATCCCATATCGGGTTAAAGTTTTTGTTTAAAATAGTTGGTGGTCACATCAACCTGAAACTTAATGGATTTTGTAGTGATAGGTTTAATGAATATGCCAAATGAGAAGCTTGACCCAGATTTCATGGTTCTGTGAACATGATCATGTGATTAGTATGAGTTGGGCATGCATGGTTATATGGACACAAATTCTTATTAATAAGTTGTTTAATTTGTTCTCTTCCTGAACATGCATACTTTATTTATTCCTTGAATCAAAGCAACTATATTAAACAAGCAATCACATATTTTATGATATGATAATGACTAAAGGATAGCGTGTCGCCAAAAATATTTGATAGTATAACAGACACCACCAACACCCAACTTCTCTGAAAAAATAGACATACATAAATTGTGGCATTGGTTTTCTCAGTTGAATTGTTCTACATTTTGTCATTTAGGCTATTGATGACTTACTATACCGTATGGGATTTGCTAATTGTTGAAGGCTGTACAGTGATCTACAGTTCCTTACATTTATGTCATTTGGTCTCTGGTAGCTATAGATAGTTGTCTCATTGGCAATCATACCCCCATCTTCCTATGTTTATATACAAACAAAGACAAACAACATGGTTCAGATATCCTGAGCTGGTGCAAGTACAAGATGTGGTTGGATTAAACAAATAGGTGTGCCTTCCCTTTTGTCTATCTAGACCATATAATGTGAAAAAAGGGGCCTCGGTGGCCGAGTGGTCTAAGTAGCTACTACTGTAATCACTAGCCAGTCAACACTGAGGTTGTGAGTTCAAACCCCGCTCGTGCGTGTGCACTCGACTCCAATCTTAATTGACTAGGATTGTAAGTTTTCCTAGGGAAGGTCCGTGGTTTTCTCTGGGCACTCCGGCTTCCTCCACCAATAAAAATTGGCCGCCAAGAAATAGCCCAAAAGTGGTGCTTAAAAGTGACGTTAAAACACCAAAAATCAAATCAAATCAAATCATGTGAAAAAAAGGCTAATCTTCTGAATTTAATTTTTAGAGAAAAAAATCTTATAAACAGCTGTTATTCAATTTTTGGATAGCACAAAGATTCATATTATGGAAATGTTGTTAAATACAATTACATTTTTCAGCAAACATTTATTCAGCCACCAACTAAAAAATTAAATATAAAGTATATAGAGTTAATTGATTTAAAAAAAAAAAAATAATAAATTTGGTGACATTCACACCATGTGTTGCTGTGTTTTGAGGCTAATTTGAATCAACATTTCAAACAAAGACAAGTTTTATTCGCATGCGTAATCACTGCTTAAAATTTATTATTATGGATTTGTTTTATATATGATATGTTATCTGGTAAAACATATTTGTGTTGGGTATTGTATAACTATTTACTAATAATATAAACATGGATTGACTCTGTGAAACCAGTATAGTTAATGCACCTAGATCTCTGTCTTTCAAGCCAAGATAAGTCCGTAGTTGGTTGAGCATTTAGAAATTGGAACTGTGCATCAACTCCTAAGTAATAGTTCTCTATATTAAATAAAGAAATACTATTCCAATTTTCATAATTTGTGGTTCATGAATAATTTCTATACATTGATATTAATAAATATTTAAAGAATGTAACTTGAATGCATGCTTGTATAACCCAATTAAGTGAAAATAACACATATTGAATAGTCAGTTTTAGGTAATAAAAAATGTAAGAAATTCACCTAGCTTTTACCGAGTTAATATTGAGTTAAAACTGAAGTTATAGTTTACAGTATTTAGCTTTTGTTCCTCCAAAGAGTGACATAAGCCCAAACATATAAATTAAACTTTTTTATTTGATCAAAGTATGGAAGATGTTTAGGTTTGAACATTTTTGCCCTCTTATAAGAAAAAAACTGGTTTTTAAAATGATAAATATACCTCCTCTGATACCATTTGCTACTTCAACTTGGCTTCTCGCTATATTGCCAGTTAAAGTTAATGCAGCATTAAACTACTTTTAGACAACCAGGAAGCCTGATTTCCAATAGGTTTAAGTGGCAATAAGACTCAAAGGGGTGTTAAAGCTATACATTTTTTAATATCAACATTTTTCATTTTTCAGATAAGGAGAAAGACTGCTACACCAGAGGAACTACTATATCCTGGTTCTTCTGAAGCTACCATAGCTGTCCCACAGTTACAGACACTGCATGAGGAACCACAGAAAACATTGACAAAGGTTAATGGTCATGGCGACAACCAGTTGATGCCACCCCCTGTTAAACCCCCACCCAAGTGTTCATCGACATCTAGTTTACCAAGGTATGTTTATTTTTTAAGTTAATGCCACTGGTAGTCACCTAATGAACCCAAATCCAAGCTTTTACCAATAGTGATTTTACAGATCGAGTTTAAGGATGTTCGCTCCTCTTATGTTTGAATTTTTGCCAGATTTTCGGAATCCTCTGCTTTTATCCATGTTTTGCCATTACAAAATTTTGTCCACTAACCCCTACTTTTCTTTTCATTATTTTATTACATATAGTTTTAAAAGCAATATTTAAAAATATTATATAACCCTTGTTATTTTTTCATAGTTTTTAAAAGAGAAAAGCGGAGAATGTTAAAAGTATGAAAAATCTGGAGAGAATTATTTCACGCCAAATTTTCAATAGCTTATATCTGGGAAACAAGCACACAGACCTTTCATTTTTTTCTGCCTTTTCAGTTTATTTATATTTTATCATATTATAACAGTCTTTTAAAAAGCTTGTTATTTTGAAACAGAGAAGCGAACATCCTTAAGTTGTATTCTAAAGTGTAATATGAATAAGATAGATTTATAATGTTTTCCATGAAAGTGCAAAGCCACTGTTTTTCATTAATGGGGCACCATTGCATACAGTCGATACAAATGATTGAAAAGTCCTTATTGATAGATCGTATGATTTAAAAAATGTCTGGAATCTATTGTGGGTAGTGCTTTTCACACCATCTGACTATTCTCATATCTTGTATGAATAACAAAGATATTCTCAAAACTGAAGCTGGAACTGATGAAAACTAACATATATATCTAAGCAAAAAACCTTTCACTTTGAGATGGTAACCTGGAAACAATTAATGAATATCATGTGCTGTTTTGTTATAGAATGACCTCTGCATCAAGAGCTGACCCTGGACCATCACCAAGCTTAAGAAGAAAAGAATTCCCTAAGCCGAGTCCTGATCCATCACCGGTACTGAAGAGAAAGAACTACAGTGGCTCAAACCTGCTTACAAGGTCCAGTTCCGTGTAAGTGTATAATAGTACATTATAATGGAAACTTCATATTGCTTTGTGTGTGTTTTATATATATTAATGTTGTCGCCCTGTTGTTCTATTGTGAATTTATTTGTTTTTGTGAGTACCAATTTTTCTTGGATTTAGGAAAAATTGTACTTTTGTAAATACTTTTGATTGTGGATTTAATGTATTCTTCATACTAGCCTATAGATTTTTTTTTATTTTGTTGAACATTTAGATTTGTGGTTCCTTATACCCAAGACATCCACAAAAAATAGTTCCTGACGAACAATACTGTGGATTCATTTATTTTCGTGGATTGAGGTAAACTTGCATTTTTGTGGATATTTGATTTCATGGTTTTGCCAATCTGTGCATACAAAGCTGATTGAAAATTTGTTATTTGTTGAACATTTGAATTTCGTGGTTCACCTGTACCCACGAAACCTACGAAAATTGGTATCACACGAATAATAATGAATCCACAGTAATGAATCCACAGTATGTTTCTGTAAAATATTCAATACTGTTAGTGAAAAATTTCCTTTGTGTGTGCTACCAATGTGATTTTTCTTGTGATAAGTTTTGAGGATTAATGATAAAGGTAATATAATTTTTATGCCCCATTTATGGGCATTAAGTTTTTCGGTCTGCACGTTCGTTCGTTCGTCTGTCTGTTCGTTTGTTTGTCCGTCTGTTCGTTCGTTCGTCCGTCTGTTCGTTTGTTCATCCGTCTGTCCCGCTTCAGGTTAAAGTTTTTGGTCAAGGTAGTTTTTGATGAAGTTGAAGTCCAATCAACTTGAAACTCAGTACACATGTTCCCTATGATATGATATGTCTAATTGTAATGCCAAATTAGAGTTTTGACTCCAATTTCACAGTCCACTGAACATAGAAAATGATAGTGCGAGTGGGCATCCGTGTACTATGGACACAGTCTTGTTTGGTTTTGATTTCTATCTATACTTTGGTTAAAGCTGTAAGGCCATGTAAATAATTGTCATTATATTGTGTCCATTAACTAAGATTAACTAAGATTGTCATGGAACAGTTCAACTTGGATCTAAGAGCAAACAGTTTTAATTGATTGCTTTGTTTAGGTAATATCTTTGACTTGATTGTATCTAAGGGCAAACAGATTAAAATGGTTTCCTTCCAAGAAACTACACAGAGCCCTTTTATTTAAAATCCTTTACTTGATTGTAAGGGCAAACAGATTGACGTGATTTCCTTGCAAAAAACATCACAGAGCCCTTTTATTCAAGACCTTCTATTTGATTGCCTTGTGAAGGTGAACAGATTGACTTTATTTCCTTACAAGAAATTTCATAGAGACAGATCTTTTATTTAGCAAAATGATAGTAATTTGTTTATATACCAATAAGTGCCAATAAAATAGATCATAGCATTGATTTTTCTCTAATTATATTTGAAAAATAATGAAAAAGTAAATATTGATTATAACTTTAATATCAATAATATATTTAAGGTTTAAATTTGACATCCGGGTATGTAATGTATCTCAATTGTAAAGTTGATACTGAAACAAGACATTATAATCAAATGAATTATTTATATGCTTTTGATGTAGTCAGAATCAATATTTGATGGAGTTACTAAATGGAGCTTTGTAGAAACAGGAGGAATATATTTAAAATTTGAAATATGATGTTAAATATTGGAATTATTGATATTTATATATTGTTTTGAAAATCATGAATTTGAAATCAAAGTAAATAATTTATCATTATAATCCCCTATTCTGTAAATGAAATTGGAGGAAAGATTGGAATGGTATTGTTCTTTCATCTGTCTATGAGTCGCGTTACATTTTCCTAAATTGTCAGATGGATATTGATGAAACATGATTCACTATCCGTACCCCAAATGAATAGTGATGTCATATTCATTATTACTCTATATTATCCACTCAAAATTATGCCTATAGTTAAATGCTTGTCATTTGTTGTTTTTTTTTTTTTTTTTTTCTCAAAAATTTTATTGACATATAGGCCAAATAAGTACCTCAATGCAACTCTCCAATAAAGCTGATTTGTAGCATTTAACAGATTCATATTTTTCTTGAAACTTAATATAGTTGATGGTCTATTTTTTTTGGACAGCTTCAGACAATAAAAGAGTGAAACATTATCTATGATTTGTCATAATTGATGAAACCAAGTAAACATTTGTGAAGAATTTGGGCAAAAAATTAAATTTCCAGATTTTTTTATAGCATTTGTTTTACGGTACCAACCAAGAGAGAAAAAAAGAGGGAAAATTGACTTCTCAAAAACTTGTCTAAATTTCTCCAGATTTTAATATTATTGTCCTAAGTTAGGATCTTTGTTATTGGTCATTGATGTTTATATCATAGAGTTCTCTTGCATATTAAGGAATTCAGAGCTGATTGCGGATTTTTTGGTAGTCGCTGTTAAAACTTCACCTTCTTGTTGCGACTCTTTATCAATTTACTGCTTGACATATGTTATGATAATTTGCCTATAGTTAGAGACTAAATAATCTCTCTTCTCTCTTTTAGTTTTATTGTGTTGTTTGGTTGACCTCTAGATTCTTCTTTAGTTTTATTATGTTGTTTGATTGACCTCTAGATTCTCTCTTTAATTAGGGCCCCGCCTATTGGCGGGTTGCCCTATAGTGATCAGTCTGTCTGTCCGTCCATCCGTCCGTAACAAATTGTGTCCGCTCTATATCTAGAGAACCATTATAATTTCATACTTTATACTTGACATGTATATTAACCAACACCAGAGGGTGTGTCATAATGTTTGTACAACTTCCTATGTCAAAGTTCAAGGTCAGTGGGGCCCACAGAGATGGCTCCCATCTTAATGATGTTTAGTTTTTTTTTGTGTTGTTTGGTTGACCTCTAGATTCTGCCTCAGTTTTATTGTGTGGTTGCTGTCTTATTGAAAGTATACTCCAAGTCTCCTTTTATTCATAGATAAAAATTGTTTGATTGCTATGGTAGTTTGCATCAGATTAGAATTTATCTCTATATAAAAATCTATTTCAGACGCTGAGTAAATACATTGATGAAATTAAATTTACTTTGAGTGTAAATATACATATTTTGACTTTTAAATTTCATTGTCCAAAAGTTAATGCCTACATTGTTATTGTTATAGTTTGAATAATAATTGTTTTAATCACATTATTTTTAAATACATTTTTGAAATTAATCTTTTGATTTAGATATGAGTGGAAATGTTAGTGGATTATAATGAATCTGTAGATATTCAGAATATTTATAAAATGTGATTAACCTAACGTCTCAATTTTCTCCTTATGTATTTGGATAATTGTTGCTTTCAATTTAAGAATAAGAAGTTGTGGTATGGTTGCCAATGAGACAACTCTCCACCAGAGACCAAATAACATAGAAGTAAACAACTATAGATCACCGTACGGCCTTCAACATCTTCATTTCTAGACCGTGATAATACACATTCTTCTTAGTATCTTACCCCACTGGACATTAAGCAAGCAATAAAAAAAATCTACTAGTTTTCATGAGTCATGATTGTCCCGTACTACTAAACATGCCTGCATTCTAATGAAAGTAAATTTTCTGGACTGTCATCAATGACCATGTATGGTCAGATCATATGTTTTCGTACATCATATGAATTCATACTATGCTTGCTTTTTCAATGGAAATTGTGACGTCACAATGTGTTCTTAATAGCATGAAAACTGATAATACGAGGATACTGTTCAAAACATACTGTTGGATTGCTTCTTGTCCTGAATACTGTAAACCAACTTACTGCCATTGTTCACGAGTCTATATAAGATGATGTATGATTGCCAATGAGACAACTTTCCGCCAGAATTCAAATGAAGTGATGTAGGCATCTATATGTCACATAACATCCTTCAGTAGTGAGCCAAGTCCATCCTGTATAGTAAGCTACACAAGGCCTCGACATGAGCAAAATTTCAACCAAAAAAACCAACAGCCTGATTTATGACAAAATATTAGTGAAAGAGAAAAATAACAGACATCAAACAACAACAAACAAGCTCCTGTTTGTGAGTGCTCAACTGTGAGGCGAGAGTTTTTTTCTCGATGTTGAAAGTATACATGTAAATTTGAAATATAGAACTGCAATAAAAACTCTGTTCCTGTGTTTTTTTTGTTTTTGCTGTGCATATATTTATTTTGTGTCATGGATGGATACCCCTTATCCTTTCTTTTCTATTAAAATACCAATCTTGGAATTACTTAGAGAGGCATTATGGTAGAAGAGTTGCAGTCTGTTAGTAAGGGGATGGGGAATACCAAATAAAGTATCTTTCACCAAAGGAAAAGTCAGATATATATCTGCTATTATAATTGTAAGATTGATGGATATGTAACAAAGTCCAGTGGCAAATATTTCATGCTTAGTCAGTCAAACAAAATGAAAATATGAAAAGTACATATTTCAGTGAAACACAATTTAATTGCAACATCAATGTGTATACACAAATTATCACAGTCAAAAAAACAAAAATAGGTCCTCAAAATTGCAAAAACAAAATTTGTCCCAGTTTGAATGGGTTAGACTTCTTGTGCCTCTATTATATCAGGTTGTCCCATCATCCTTGACATGCGAATTTCTTCAGATGGACGACGAGATCGTGACATCTTGCGTAGATAATTTTGCAACTGGAGTGAACCAGATTTCCTTCCTGATCTGGCGGCTGTATTATTTGGGATTCCTGATTTGTTCCTTCCATCCTTGAAAAAAAAATTCATATCATTAGTTACATTACAAATTTTACAGATATTCTGTAATTCTGAATTAAGAAGTTTGGAAATAGAAAGTTTGAAGGTTGAGTCATGCCTTTTCTTATAATTTAATGCATAAATGGAGATGTGAGATCAATAAGAAAGCAACCAAACAACAGCAACAAAAAACAACCCAAATAACATCTAGAGGCCCACGTAAGGTTTTCAACAATATATATAGTTTAAAGTTATTTTGATATGAGGTGCCTTAAGAAAAAGTTAAAGAAAGAGGAAATCAAAAGAATTTATTGGGAATAAAATCTTTAGTATTATATTTTATTGGGATTTTAATTACACTTATTTTTATATTTTTCTTTATTCATTGATTTCTTCCCCACTTAAAATTATTCTAATAAGATTTTATCTGATGGCATTTCCAAATTTCAGGTAACCAGAAATAGACCTTTGGTTAAAAGGAATTATGAAATCTTGCAACTATTTGGAATATTGGTTAAATATCATATTGTCATAAAATTTAAAGCTTAAATCATTCCAATTTGGTAAACCTTATAATAGGATATAATGATAAAATTTTAGTAATTTTCTCTTTCAGACAAAGTATTTAAAAATATTTATACTTGTTTGTGTGTTTAAAATAGTTTTTTTCCCTCACAAAACAATAAACCTCAAATTTTAAATGTCTTATTTTTGATCAGATAATATGCACTTGTGTCTATGGAATTGTTAAATCTATTTTTCTGCACGGTCTTTACAATGTAATTACCTATATATTTCAATAACAAGCTCCATGTAAATATATATTTCCCTAAATAGAAAATGTTTTTAACAATTGAAGAGTAACTGTTAAAAACAAAATTACAAGAATTTCCTCAAAACTAATAAAAAGGCTTGTAAAAATTAATAACTGAATCATCATACCTATGGGGTCGTGCTACATATGAATAAAAGGATATGTGGGGTCCTAAAGTAAAAATTAACAATTGAATTTTCACACCTTGGGACCGTTATATAAATGAATAAAGGATATGTGGGGTCCTTAGACGTCAATGAGAGATTTTTATTTTTTTATGGGAAATAAAGATTACGTCTTGCAACACTGTAAGATCCTTATTCTAAAGTCTTATGTAAATTTATATTTACATTGGAAAACACGGTAAAATATTTTTTTTTCTATTTAAATATTTGTATTTTGTTTGTTTGTCAGCTTTACTAAACAAAGTTGAAGTTCGTTTACATATTGACATAATAAGAGCAATCTCATATTTCAAATGTAAGAATTTAATATGCATATATAATACCATCTGTACAATAAAATAACGTATTTAATAGAACTGCAATGTTTGATAACCATTTAAAAATTTCCAATACTTCTCTATTGAAGTACATTAAAGATTTATAAACTTTTAATCTCAGTTTAACCTACTAGAGATTAGCGAAGTAAGTTTGATTAATTTAGGCCTTTAAAATATAAAATCTGCGTGTTTAATCTGACAGAGAACGAAAGTTCAAGTAGCAGATATGCGGATCTATAAGCATACTTCAACGTTCAAAAAGGTCTCTTGTTTCGAAGTCGTGTCTGATATGTCTGATGACGTAAAACTAAATGTACTGCGATGTTTTATGAAATACATATTTGTAATAGATTCAATAGCTGGCTGGTTCATTGATCGACTGTTGATCATTTTTGATAGATTTATTATATGATGTCAATCATGTCAGAACTTGGTATAGGTTTTTATCAAAAGAAATTGTTGAATTCAAGTTCAGATACTAATTTAAAAGAAGGTTTTGCAATATGCTGAAATTCTGAACAATATAAGAAGGTCTAAGAAAAGTCTTAACTTCAACCAATAAAATATTCTTATTTGTTTGAATTGAACATCTACTGTAAATAAATGTATGGAATTAATAATTAGGCCCATATAACAAAGATGTAGACACTATAGAAGTCTTTCATGATAGACTTCAATTTCTGTCCTTGCTACATGTATATTTTCCAGTGTCATTTAGTGACTTTTTACTGCATTTTTTTGGTGTTTTTTTCTTATGTACTGTTCTTTTTTCACTTATTAAATCATCTACTGGTTTTTACTCCCTCATAGAAAAAGACAAGTTGTCAATGGAAAGTTGTATTTTGAAAAAAAAGTCAGTGCATTATTTTGGAAGATTGAAAATTTCGTGTTGTATTCAGTATTTTCATGTTGAAAAATATGTGTATTGTGAAAACATATTTGTAAATACCAAAAGAAACCATAAAAATCACTTCTATACTACCTCCTGGTGATTTTTATGGTTTCTTCAGTATTCTAGAAATAAAAAAGCTACTATTAATATTTGGTTCAGTTGCGGATCCAGGGGGGTTTCAGGGGGTTGGAAAACCCCCTATTTTTTGATGATCAATGGAACCCCCCTTTTAAAAATTGCTGGATCTGCCCCTGTGGTTGTACTGAACCCATGAATATATAGGAACTCTTACAAAAAATACTTAGTTCAGTAATTAGATATATCAATTACTAATAAAAATGTAAGATATTAAGTTAGAAAGTCTTTCAATGAGGAGAGAGATCATTATTTCATGATACTACTGGCAATACTTATTTTATAATGGATAGTTTTATACATATCTTTTATTGCATAAACATCTATAAAAAAAATAATTGGGGAAAAACACTTTATTATGAAATGTAACTGATAATAATCTAAGTATGAAATGAACATAAAGATCCCATTATCATAAAACAATTTTAAAAATTGACTTGTCAATATCAATCCCATTTAAAAATTAAAACTTTTGAAAATTGCCATTCCTGGTTACTTTAAAAGCTGTAAAATCAAAAGGCAATTAATCCTGTATAACGTGTCAATTCTGGTCACATCCTGTTTATGATTTTAAATAAATTTCTGGAAAAAAATCATTAAATGGGAATTTTTGTTATTGAGGATGGTTTACTTTTTTCAAACCTTAGATAAATATGACAATGCGTGATATTCTTAATTTGACCTGGAAAAATTTACATTTATAGCTATATTATTGTGAAAACTTGCAATAATGTCAATTACTTGTAATGTTTATGACTTTTTATATCTCCTGAAAAAAGGGGGCAAAACAACAGACATTAAGACATGTCGAATGAACTATTTCTATAATTCTGGTAGAGGAAGGTAAAGGGTTTGACTATCAAGTGTCAAATGCCTTTTTTCCAATACAATTACTGCAATAATGGTCCTGAAATTATTTATTTTTAGTTATCAATCTGGAATTTTGAACTATTGCCAGTCTCAATTAAAAGAATAGTTACTGTTATTTTCTGAAAAATATGTAATTTGAATCGTCAGACAAGATATTCTAATCTTACCCTTTTAGAATTAATTCTTTTTCTGATGCACTGTAAATTCTTACTTTTAATAAGCTTTTTTATAAGTTTTAAAATGTTTTCTTTAAATTGAAATGAAATATTCATTCTTCAGAAAAAAGATAAAAGAAAAATTCTTCAAGACTGAAAAATTTCTGCAAAGAACAGTCAAATAAGAGGATAATTGGCCTCCTTTGAAAAGTTCATCAAATATTGCGGTATCATTTTCGAAATCGGTCACAATTGTAAACAAATATCTATATGAAATAAAAAAAATGAATACTTACAGTTGTTGAAAGTTCTGAATTTACAGAATACATAGACATTGAAGAGTTATGGTTCCTGTTCATCAGAAAATCGCACAGGGTATTAGCGTTTTTCATATGTTTAGGGTTAATACCATATTTCAGTGTTTGTTCATTCTCTATCATTCTCAGTCGTACAGAATACAAGATTTCTGCTAATGTTTTCATCCTTTGTTCAGGATCTTTCATTTTCAAGTACAATGATTTGTACTGCTGGGTTGCTCTCATGACCTCGTTAGGATCAGGGTCACTGTTCTTACCATAAATAGGAGGTAAGGCAGAATACGCTTTAATACTGTCAACACTGAAAGTGTCCATATTTGATATTGGGGGGAGAGATTTGGTATCTCCGGACCATGAAAAGTTTTTTGGTGACGTAAAGTCATTGTGGACTTGTTCGTGTCGTCCATATTCGCTCACACTGTGTTTTTCGGCAAAATGAACTTTTTTCTTGTTTGTTCTGCTTGGTAAGCTTGCACGAGTTATATCATGACGGGCTGAATCCCGGACTTTAGGAATTTTGTAACTTTCTTGAAGTAGTTCCTTCGCAGCTGCTATCCCTGGTGGTGGATCCAGTGGCGGTAGATTTTGCATTGAATTATTTCGCCCAGAGTCCCACTCCGATGTCGTCTTTGATGGACATCTCGACTTTATAATTTTCGTTAAACTTTCTTGTCTGAGAGTCGGAAGTTTTAAAATTCCTTCTTTTCGTGACGACTCAGGAGTTGTTGTAGTAGTTTTGGTTTCCTGTGTCTTCTTCTTCTTTTTATTCAATTTGTGAGCGGCAATGTTTGGGGCCATATAATATCTTGATGAGGATTGGACTGAGGATGATTCACTCATGGTTGAAGGTGATAAAGCATTCAATTTTAAATCTCCTAGTTGGTTTTGTTGGTATCTTAGACTTGAAAGTTGCCTCAAAAGTTGACTTTTTTCCGTGGAATATTTTCTCATAGTCTGCCGCAGGTCGTCCTGCAGCTTTTTGGTTGAATCTCGAAGATTGTTTCCGAACATGTTGTTTCGAACGTTTGAAATTCTGCAACAGAGTTAGAAATGTCATAAAGACGTTCACAGTCCAAAGTTTTATTCTGCATTGTGAATTTTAAAAAATTGCCAAAAAATATATAATAATTCCAATCCCTAATCCAATTCTGTGACGTTCAGATCAAGACTACTGGGTTAAGTACTGATCAGTGTTTTTAAAACTTAATCCTTAAAGCCAACTGTTATTAAAATTGTTCGTTCCGTAATTATAGGTTTTAGTAAACATTGAACTTATACAGTCGAAAACTTTTCCATTTAGACAAGGTGTAATAAATAAAGTAGAAAACAATTTGTTTAAAGTATCCAGTCCCAATTCTTATTGATAAATGAATATCGTCTGAACCCCACTTGCGTTACAAGGTAAAATTTATTGACAAAATTTTACTAACAATACCAAGGTATATTAATTTTTGATGTAAGGCAGAAATCAATTGATGATGTCTATTTCATGTTTACAAGAGTTACAATGTTGCAGAGATTATTAAGTATGTGGTTTAATTAAAAATCTCAAGGAGACTTGCGTCCACACATATCAAAGATGGGGATTTAAATATTTTCAATAAAAGAAAGTTTTTGTATTTGAGATTATAACTTTGATATAGAAAAATGGAGTGTTCATGTCCTTGTCAGGTTAAGATATACAAATTTCATGACTTAATCCTATTTGCATGCAAATTCTTTACAAGCCTTATATAATAGGATTAAACTGCAGGTGTATATTGTGAATTTGTTTGCATAAAATTATAATACACATGTATCAGATTCGTACTTAATTTAATAGTCCTACATATGACAGATTAGTTCAAGCATAGATTTTAAACCATTACCATTCAGCATTATATCAAAAAGTCAAACAATTTTTTTTATTTCATGCTCATTGCAGAATATATAAATTTTGGCAAAAGTATAATTGTTGAACAAAATTGTTTCTCAGGAAATTAGTTTTTGAAAATATCAGTTGTTTGGAAATATGTCATATTTTTTGTATTGACTATGGTTGCTAATTTTTGAAGACGATTTAAAAAGTTTTGTATAATTGGTCACAAGTGTTGTAATGTAAATAGATAAAGTTTTTTATATCCATGGATTCCAATTTTTGCCAATTTCAAGTGCAGTTTAAATTGAAGTTAAAATTCAAACCTTATGCAAATATTAATTGAAAAGGAAACAAAAAGTAAAATTGATTTCATAATACTACAGCCTTACAAGAGCATGCTAGTTACTTTGAAATTGAACTAGTTCCATGGCATAGTTTTTTTTATGAATTCAGAACCAGATAAGAAGGTAACCAGTCTATTATGGTATTAAAGATATCATCGTCATTAGGCCAGATGGGAATTATGCATTGTTGTTTCTCAATATGAATTATTGGCTTTGCAATATTTTTCGACATCTTCAGGAATTTTTATTTGAATGCAAAATTTTCTGGTTTCTTGCGTAAATTTGTTCTTTCAAGAAGATAAGAAAAACATAAAAATGAATCCTTGCAAACTGGTTTGTCAAAAAAAATCTTGAAAATTAAAATTTGAAAATAATCTACTTAACTGTTGATATTGGTGTATTCAGATTTTTGACAAATAGGTATTGTTGATAAGATGATTTTAATTGACATTGTTTTTATTAAATGATAATTATATAAAAAAAAAGTAAAAAGATGTGGTATAATTGCCAATGAGACCCCATTCCAACGGCCACCAAATCATACAGAAGTTATCATCTAAAGGTTACGGTACAGCCTTTAACAATGAGCACATAACCCATACTGAATAGCAAACTATAAAAGGCCCTGCCATGAAAAATGTATAACTAGGATACTACCCATAAATCTATTTAAAGTTTTCACAGAATGGCAAGTATTATTTGTTTGAAATGCTAGTATTGTATAAAAATTACTTATCAGTTAGTCTAGAAGACCATAGTAGTTTTTTTTTCATAGATGAAATTTAGCATGATGCTCAGGTCACAAATAATTGCATATTTTAAAAGAGGATTCAGTTATTTAAGGGATTCAGTTATTAAAGGGATTCAGTGATTCAATATTTTGCTGCTTATAGCATGGGGAAAAGATTCATGGTGCTGTTATAAGGACATCATTAAAGATTGAGAGATTTTTGCTTGCTTAACATCCAGTGGCAAATATTTCATGCACATTCGGGATGAGACTTATATTAAGCGCCATTCATATTTGATGGATTCAGATTCAATTAGACCATGACCCTTTTTTTTTCATAAAAAATATTTGATTTCAAATACCTCTTACCATGTTGATATTTGTCTAAAATGACATACATATTTTTTTTCTTGGCCTGAGTCAGCAAATGTACTTTTTGACGACCAATTCTTATACACTGTACTTATTGGCATTATAGACTTTTCTTCTTTACGCTACACTTAAAAAGAATATTTATTACGATTTGTTTATATAGTGAGGTCTAAATTATCCCTTTCATACAATACCAATATTACAGTTTTTTGTTCCCTATTGAATATCCACTCCTAACGTTCCTTTTAACACGAATTTAATTTGAAAAGCCGTCAATAACCTGTAAAGTTTTTGAAGAGGCCATAATAATATAGTGTCAGTCTGTTATTTAAATCATAAATTATTTGAAGTTTGTCATTTTTCTTTTCAAAGTCTGGAAATCAAATGTGATCAGACGTAATAATTTTTAATGAATCAGATATTAGGGATCATCTCAAAATCTTTTCAATGAAACATTGTAATTATCTTACAATTATGAAAGATACTATTTATTATATGATTTAATGATCTTTATTTGAATTTTACTGAGAAGGAACAAGGTTTGAGTGCATCAATACTGTTTCATTATTATTTGTTGGATAACATTTTCTATGGATTTTGTGGGTTAACAAGTGACCCATGAATTTTGAATGTTCAACTAAGTATAAATTTTCTATAGGCTTGTACATACGCAGACTTCGTCATAACCAAGAAAATACAAATTTTCCTTTAACAGCAAAAATTGGTACCGTAGAAAATAAAAGAATCAACAGTAATTTGAAAGTTTGTGAAAAATTTTAAAAGAATTTAAATCTTGCAATCAATAACCTTATTGATCAGTGATCAGTATTCACTGTGTTTTTATCTCTTTGCTTAACACTTCATAAAATTGTATATCACAGAGTCGTGACGTCAAATATGCAATATGGTCCTTCCCTTCACATATATCACCCTGATCAGTTGATCCATAATTCTCTTATCATGGCTTAGAGACGTTATGAAGCAGACATCAAGCTTAATTTGGTCATGTGTTAACAGTTTAGGGAGGGAGGAGGGGGGGAGAAGACTAGTAATAGAACTGTAACTGCTTTCACTAGCAAAAAGATTCATAAAAGATTCATATTGTGGCTTCCAGCTTTTATTAGGCAAGATCAAGGTGTAGAAAATCTGTTAATCTATACTCACCAGGTCTTCATAACTTTGACCTTGACCTATCACCATTATCATGACAAGATTTGTAAAGGCAAGTAGCTGTTGATGTTTATAATAAGGGCAGAATTTCAGGTCATGACCAAAGCTTATAACTGCAAAATAACAGGTCACACCAACACACTGAGTCATTGTTTTACATGCTAGCTCACAAGGTAACAGTCTGCAGAAAGATCTGCCTTGTAGCAGACCAGTCTTTGCTTTTACTAATAAATGACACGTTTTTGGCGGTTAAGCAGTAAATACTAAATTTTGAAGTCAAATTTAGATTGACCTTGCCACTGGATGTTAAGCACCAATTAATCATCGTCTCAATATTGACCCAGCAGGGGTCAAACCCACGACCTCCCACACTTGACAATACCGGTTGTTACTGTGGATTCATTATGATTCATTTGATACTAATTTTTGTGGATATTGTGGGAATAGGTTCACCAGGAATTTAAAGGTTTGATGACATACACATTTTCTAAAGGCTTGTGTACAGACTTTGTTAAAACCACGAAATCAAATTGATATCCACAAAAATACAATATTCTCAAACACGAAAATTGGTATCAACGAAAATTTATGAATCCACAGTAGTTTAAAAGGTATGAAAATGGATTCATTTCATTGTCCCAACAGTATATTCTATAGGTATTTAAGCCTAAGTTTCCAAATGTTTATTGAATATAAGACTCACTTTCTGTTCACGGAAGCTCTGGCAACTGGAATCTCTTCATCATAAAGGTGGAGTAACTCTGTAGTGTTCTGTCGCTGGTACACCTGTGGAATGTCAAGGTTAACATTTCTGTTAGGTGATTGGGGTAATCTGACCCTCCGTCGTGTTTTCTTTTTAGTAGACAATTTACGGGAAAGAGATTTTTGTCTTTCTGGAGACTTTGTCTTGGTTTTTGGCTGGTGTTGGATTTGTTTTGCCTTGACAACCACTTGTTCTTCCAAGTGAATATCTCTTTTAAAGGGTACCTGTGAGTCTGTTTCAGTGGACTTTTCACTTATTATGGAAAGTTTATCATCAAATTTAACAATTTTCATTCCTCTAAAGCTGCTTTGGCTCTTAAGCAAAGTTATTTCTGTCAGTTGTGTAGTCTGTTGTTCAATTTTCAAAATGATGTTTTCGCAATTAAGCTCTTCATCTGATATTGGTGTCCGTGTCTGTTCCCCCTTTCCTGAATCTCTATCTTCATCACTGCTTTCCATGAAAACTCCTGAGTCTTCTTTCGTCATTGATTCAGGCTGTTGCATATGATGCCATACTTTGTTTTCAACATTTCCGGAAGTTGAAAAATAAGCAGCAGTTATGCCCCTTTTTGTCAAAATCTTCTCAATGTTTTTCTTATTTTCAGTCTCAGACATTTTGGAATTTTATTGTCCTGTACAACCTCTTTGTTGTAATCTGAAAAAGTTATAATATACTTGTACCAGAATAATTCATTTTCAAATTTTGATTAAGGTAGCCTGTCAACATTGAGGTTGTGAATTGGAACCCCGCTCATTGCAAGTGCTTTCGATTCTGGTCTTAATTGATTAGGGTAATTAGTTTTCCTGCCATTGGTTGTAGTTCTCTCAAGGAACTCTGCCAATGAAAACTGGCAGCCATATTATAGTTAATGAATGCTGAAAGTGGCATTAAACATCAATAATCAATCTATTTGAATAGGACAACACGCTTGTTTTATGTTTTTTTCCCTTGATTACATCTCTCATTGCAATTTGTTTGGTAATGCAATTTACCAGGTAGTAGTGACGAGCATGAGACTGTCTTTAGAGGAAAATTCCAAATTTTTGAAAAATATTGGGGAGCTTCCATGTTTCTGAGGAAAGTCAGTTACCTATGATAAAATATTCTTCTAACTTGTTCTCATCAAAAGAAGATTTGTAAGATTTAAGATATAAAAAGTTGGAGACCTTTAGTTAATAGCAAAAATAATTGTTAGCCCTAAAATTGTAAGAACAAATACATTTATTGCAAAATTACATTACCTGAAAGTTTGAAATTCCAGTCCATCCTTTAAAAGTTTTAAGAAGCAACAAATTTCAAATATAAATCTTGATAGTTGTTTTCATGGTAATTGCTAACAAGTTTTTAATGTCCGTCTGCTGCCATTACAAGATGTTTTAACAGCTCCATAAACATGATAAAGAACTTGTAAAATTTAGCGTATCAAAGATAAACTTGATAATTGCTAAATTTTTTTTAAGATGAAAGTAAATTGTTTAAGGTGATACACGTTTGAATTGATTATTGAGGAGAAGATTGGTTTTAGATTAATGAAATCGTTGTTATCAAGTTTCTTTCCTGCATGTTGTCTATTTTGAAGTATTGATTTTGGTACTTGATCATAGGGAAAAAATGCTTTAGATGCCTATTTTTGACAGAAATGCCTCTATTTTAGACATTTTTGAAGTTAAGTAACAATGGATTGTGACCAAAATAAATTCAAACATGTAGTCAATATATACAGAAATAAGTGCCATAAATTTCATGGTTATGAAACTAGACAAAAAAAAAGCCCTTTGATAATTCCCTTTGAAAGCAGAATTATGGACAAAAAGTAAAACTATGTTTTACAAGATAGTGATTTCATAGATATGTAACAAGGCACAATTTAAGTATCGCTGTTTGATAAGTGGTTTCCAAGCCCCAAAATAATTGTTTGTTAATCTGTGTTTGTTATTTTAAAATCAGATGACATTAAAAATTATGGTTTTAACCTGCATTGTGCATCAAGTCTTTTTTTAAGCAGTTAGAAAAACAAATTCAAACATATTTTGGATATTACTAATATATTGCTTTGCTGGCTGTACATGTACCATAACACATACTAATATAGTAGGCCAGAAAAGAGGGTATTTTTAAATACTGTAAATTCAAAGTTTATTGCAATGCTTTTATTAATGCGATAATTGCGACAGTATCAGGTTTGGAATTATGAAAACTCACATTCACAATTTCAGTTGTTACTTTCCTTCACAGAATGTTTTCAAATGCATGTATTTGATCTGGCATTTTTCCCAGTAATCAGTGATTGGCAATAATAAATGCACACGATAATTTCTGAATTAACAGTAGGAATTATAAAAAAAGTAGACCTGGAACAATACTCTCTTATCAAGGAAACAGCAGGCATGCTATCTTGTTTTAACAACTGAGAAATAAAACCATTTAAAAATGGAAAACATTGCCATGTATGTAATTAGTGAGTTTTGATTAATTATCAGTATTTCTCCGTGTTATCTGTTTTCACATAAAATTTACTTAATGGTTTTAATTTCCTCTGATAGTGATTCCTTAATGATATATCGTCCTTTTGGAAAGGTTGCTAGAACTTTCTAAGAAATTCAGCTTTTGCTTGATGTCCTTTTATGTCAACGATTGAATTTTATTGTGATTTTCTAACGTCAATCATGTATATTGATGGTTGGATTTGTAAACAAGTGCATCAGGCTTTGGTTTTACCGTCTGTTGTAGTAAGTGCAATTCTGATGCATGAGTTGATAGCCTCATTGAAGATACACTTATTAGCCTAGAATCCTAGCCAGGTGTATAAAATTTATGTTTCAGAGCTTTATCCCTTAATCAATAGTGCATGTGCAAATTACGTAAACAGTAAACAAAAATTAATGGAATGTGAAATCTGTCAAATTTAATTAGTTTAAAGATAAGGTGATGTTGTATGATTGCTAATGAGACAGCAATCCACCAATGACCATAAGACATGGTAGTAAGCAACTAGAGGTAACTGAATGGCCTTCAACAATAAGCAAAACCAATACTGTGCATTCATAGGAGAAATCCAAGGACCTTATGAATATGCTAAAACAATTAATCATTTTGACATGGGTAGGTATTACATTTGGGTAATATTGACAGAACTAGATGCATTTAATTAGTAGGAGATGTTGTACATTTCAACACAATTATTATCTTTTATTTATAATATAATATTGTTGTCATATAAATTTTAAAATGTCTATATTATTACATGTATTACTATAAAATAGAAGACTAAGACCTAATAACTCACTGACAAAAGAGAGGCCTAAGAGTGCAGATGTGTATCTTTTAATCAGGTAACCTCCCTTTGAAAGGGAAGATAACTCTTCAGCATGGAGGCAGAATGATTTGTTATGGCTTAATTTTTCTCCCATGGTAATTTTTTTGGATTTTGTTTTTTGGATTTTGTTTTTTTTATTTTGTATTATGAATTCATGTTTTATGAATATAGAATTTTTATATCTTTTCTGCTTTAATCAGTTTATTTATATATAATTTTCTTATATTTGTGGATTTGTTTTTGTTGTCATTTTGCTTTATTCTTGTTTCTTGTGATCATAAGTAGATAGATTTCTGTTACTTATATAATATCTTTAAGAATGAAAATATCAAAATGGTATGATATCCCAGTTAGGTTGATTTTAAAATATTAATGCTTCTAGCCTGGAAAAACTTAATGAAAACGTTATTGTTATTGCTCAAATATTCAACATAGTGATTTTACGCGGTCAAAATGAAAAAGAGTCTTTGAAAAAGCATGATTTATAAAATTTGCTAAAACATATATTTCCCCTTTTCCATTATACACAAAATCTCTTAAAATTTCTTTAAAAAATTATAAACTTACATCTTTGATAATTCCAAAACTAGTTTGACAGTATATATATATCTATCTGATATTTTATATGAAATATAGCAGCTTGATTCTCTGCAAATGCAAAGTATGTTAGTACCTATTGATTGCAAGAGAGAATTCTTGAGATTTTGTACTTGATTTGAACTTGTATGTAATTATTTAACCCCACCTTTCAGTAAGTGTCAATTTCAAGCTATTTATTTTGTCAATGATTCTCTATGCTGACAAGATCAGTTTCGGTTGTATCGCTCATTTCACTACTTTTACACTTTTGTCAATTTCAACCTTGATGACGAGACTTTTTGTTTTAGCAGATCATGATAAAATTGTGACACTTGTTTAGAGAAGTAACAGAATATCATTGATTAAGAATTGGAATTTGAAGACGTTTTTCTATTCATTTGTTGATTTTTAGATAAATTTTTATGGTGGAATATGATATTTTTTTTACTTATTTTCGGTGTTGGATCATTGCCGAGGTTAATAGGTTTATCATGTTTTATTTTGTTTTGACGATTTCCAATAATTGTTATCATTTAAAAAACAAAATTGCATGTAATGTAATATGTCATGTTTAAATTTGATTCAAAGCTTTATTCTATTGTGAAAATGGTTTAGGAAATATTATTACTAAGTGATTTATCTACTATAAACATGAAAACAAGTAGACATTTAGATACAAGTAGAATTAAGTGGCCATTGACTTCCAATTTTGTAGGTCTAACTTTCTCAAATGTAAAAACATTAGGTGCATAACATTAAAATATGATTCCTATTTATTTATTGAGTATTCAATATTAAAAATTTCAGCTGATAAATATTGAATATTATTCTTTATAGAATTAATGTTTAAAGGAAAATATTTTAGCTGATATTTATCCAAAAAAAAACACAATTTCTGTGACTGAATAATTTAAAAAAAAAAATACTAACACAAATGTTTAATTAAATGTGTGAAAAAAATGATATATCTATTTATATTTTTTGTCTTTATAGAGATACAACAACATCTTCCGACACAACACCACCCTCGTCACCAACATTATCTCGGAGAGCCAGAGTGGTAGATGACAATGTGTTCTCACGACTGACTAGTAACACACAGCCTCCATCTTTAAATCCTCCAAACAGGTTTGTGTATTAATGGTTTATATATTGTCTCGCCTTGACGGAGTCAAAAAGCGAGACATAGGTAGGTCAACAATGTATTAGTTTGTGATTAGGTCTAGTTCGTGGTGAACCACTAGTGGTAGGTCAATGATATTTGGTCTGCAGTTGTATTAGCATTGGCACATCTCATTACCATGGAGATTATTTGGCCCTGCCCCCTCAGTCAAGGTCTATTGACTTTGAAACTTTGCTTAGTTTACATGTATTAGTTTGTGATTAGGTCAATTTATGGGGAACCACTAGTGGTAGGTCAATGATATTTGGTATGCAGTTGTATAAGCATTGGCATATCTCATTTCCATGGAGATTATTTGGCCCTGCCCCCTCAGTCAAGGTCTATTGACTTTGAAACTTTGCTTAGTTTACATGTATTAGTTTGTGATTAGGTCAATTTATGGGCAACCACTAGTGGTAGGTCAATGATATTTGGTATGCAGTTGTATAAGCATTGGCATATCTCATTTCCATGGAGATTATTTGGCCCCGCCCCCTCAGTCAAGGTCTATTGACTTTGAAACTTTGCTTAGTATACATGTATTTGTGATTAGGTCAATTTATGGGGAACCACTAGTGGTAGGTCAATGATATTTGGTATGCAGTTGTATAAGCATTGGCATATCTCATTACCATGGAGATTATTCGGCCCCGTCCCCTCAGTCAAGGTCTATTGACTTTGAAACTTTGCTTAGTTTTCATGTATTAGTTTGTGATTAGGTCAGTTTATGGGGAACCACTAGTGGTAGGTCAATGATATTTGGTATGCAGTTGTATAAGCATTGGCATATCTCATTTCCATGGAGATTGTTTGGCTCCGCCCCCTCATTCATGGTCTACTGACTTTGAAACTTTTGCTTAGTTTTCATGTATTAGTTTGTGATTAGGTCAGTTTAAGGGGAACTGTTAGTGGTAGGTCAATGATAATTGGTATGCAGTTGTATAAGCATTAGCACATCTCATTTCCATGGAGAATATTTGGTCATTACCCCTCAGTCATGGTCTCTTGACTTTGAAACTTTTACTTAGTTTACATGTATTAGTTTGTGATTAGGTCAGTTTAAGATGAACCACTAATGTTAAGTCAATGATATTCGGTATGCAAATGTATTGGCATTTGCAAGTTTCATTTCAATGGAGATTATATAACCCCACCCCCTAATTATGGTTTATTGACTTTGAAACTTTTACATAGTTTACAAGTTAATGTTTGTGTTTAGGTTTGTTTAAAGGGAACGACTTATGAAAAGTCAATGGTATTTGGTTTGCAGTTGTATTAGCAATGGCACATCTCATTTCCATTGAGATTGTTTAGCCCTGTACCTTCAGTCATGGTTCATTGACTTTGAATATTTGCATAACTTACATGTTAAAGTATTGCTATTTTAATTTCAACATTAGCATTATCTAAATAACAAATAGGCGAGACATATCTCTGTGTTAACAGTTTATGTGTTCTCACGGCTGACTAGTAACACACAGCCTCCATCTTTAAATCCTCCAAATAGGTTTGTGTATTAATGGTTTAGATTTTTCTTCCCTATTTCTGTTGAATAAGATCATTGTTGTATATATTCAGTTAATGGATGTTAAATCCCAAGCAAGCAAAGTTCATCTTTAAACCTTCAAAATAAGTTTTTGCTTTAAGCAATGGTTTTAATTTTTTTTTTCTTATTTTAATGAAAATGGTCATTGTTTTCAATTGGTAGTAGTTTAATCCCAACTGTCAAAGTTTTTAACTATATTCAGGATGAAAACCAAATGATATGATAATTAAGTTGATTTTAAAACATATTTTGTATGTGTTGATGCTGATTATTTTTATTGCAAAAGAATTGTCTTTTTATGTAGCAAGAATTGCTTCTATGAAAGCAGGGAGACAAATCTCAGTATAATGAACACTTTTTACACTGTGATAATTCAATAAGATAAAGACTTCTTCCACCTTAATTATTTTATTATGGCACTTTTCTTGGTTTATCTACCTCGAGCATGTTACATATATAAACTTTAAGCCGTAGAGTCAATACAAGGTTTTCATTTAGTTGTATCTGTTGAAATCATGTAAAAACAAAATTGTGAGAAATCAGAGAGCAGTAGAATATACAGAACATTTGAATTCCTTAAACTCAATATATATATATATATTGTCTTCATTTCAGAGGGAATATAGTTCCTAATCCTAATACGGGTAAGATTACAATGACAAGTGGTAAACCGGCTCCAGTGACTTGTACACATATGGCAGAAGGACATTCCAAAGCTGTGTTGTCTGTTTTTGCAACTGACGATTTATTGTTTACAAGCAGTAAAGGTAAGTGAAATTGTATATACATGCAATTGCTTTTCTAATTTAAAAAAAAAAATTACTGAGAATAGATTTGGTATTGAGACAGAAAGCAAACATATCTATTGTTGGTAAGTGAAAGAAAGAAAGACAAACCAAAAAACTATTCATTTGTACTTTGTAGATTGCAAAAAGTTCTTTGAAAATTTGAATAACTTGTAATTGATTATATTTCATTTCAAAATATGTTTTTGTATATTTTTAAAATGCATGTGCAATAAAGAATAAAAATTTGTATGTTTGGGTTTATTTCTCTAATATACAGTGTTCAACTAACATGAGATTTTCCCTGGTGATGGTAAAAACAAGAAATATGCTTAGCTTTCAAATATTAAAGTATCTGACTAGCAAATGCTAGCAAAGTTTAAGTTCATAAGAGTGGGTTCCATTTTCACAAGTCATTAAACATAAGGAAAGACAAAAATTAAAAAAATATTGTACTGCCTTCACTATGGGATAAAATCACCCACATGCATTTTTGAATGTATTTTCTAAAACAAAAAGAAAACATAAAGATCTTTGAGGATATGACTTGCTGACAACCTAAGTGGCTAAAAAAAAATTGTACAAATTTAAAATGTCTAAGAAGTGAAATGTTTTTGAAATTCAAAAACTCAGTTATAAATATGATTGGAGAATAATCCTGACCCATTGGATACATTGATAGAATTTTGTTAATACATTGTATATAATATTGATCATAATTTAGACAAAAATCATTATATTGTAGATCGAACAGCAAAAGCATGGGATCTTCAGACGGGGAAAGAGGTCATGTCATTTGCAGGCCATCCTAACAATGTTTTATCTGTGAAATATAATGAACTGTTAAATCTTGTATTTACTGTGTCACAGTCTTATATAAATGTGTGGGATTATCGTATGAATGCTACTCAGTGTATCAAAACATTAAGGTAAGCTATTGTTTCACATTGTTATCAAATTGTACTCCTACTTTAAAAGTGTAGGTCATGTTGCAACCATCTTGGTTGTTTTTCCAACACATATTTTTCATCACACTTTTCTTAAAACTTTTGAACGAAATGACTTCATATTTTGTCAGCAGCTCTTCAGTGGTGAGTTGTATTTAAAATGTTTTCAGAAAATTTGAATGACTAGTGGGAGGTATGCATAGTATGACAATGCTTTCATTCTTGTTTGATATTTATAGATTATCATTGGTTATCTCAACGAGATTGATTTTCGCGCTTGAGCCGGTACGGCGAAAGTGAGAAAAGCAATCTAGTTGAGATGACCAATGATAATCTGTTTATCGCTATTTTACCTATGAAGACGTTGTTAATTTCCATGACAACGGCACGTGTTCCCTTAGTTTCTAGCGATAATTTTCATATCACCTGACTCCGCTGAGAACGGAAATTATCAGTCAGCAAGATCAAAGGAAAAATTCGTGAAATAGCAATAAGTGATGTTATTGCCAATAAGACAATCACCTACCAAATTGATTACTGGTAAAAATTCAAGTTGTAAAAGGCCACAAAAAAGTGAAAGAATTTGAACAATTTATGTACAAACTAAATGTTTCAATTAATTGAAAAATTTGAAGATTAATTATAATTTTATTAAACTGGTGATATAGATTTCACATGAGAGGACAGCCAGGTGGCGCTGTCCAAGGTCATACTTCAGAGCTTGAGGATCTAGTTGTGTCAAGGGTGGGTACAATTTTTCAAGAAATTCCCAAGAGGTGGGCATGTGAAATCTATATCACCAGTTTAATAAAATTATAATTAATCTTCAAATGTTTCGATTAATTGAAACATTTTATTATTAAAACTGTTGATATATATACGATTTCTCATGAGATTTTAGAGCACAACTAGATCATCAATCCACTATGAATTGTTGAAAACCCTTCTTTAGGCCATGTTATTACCAATCACTTCAATTGATTTTTGTCTTTTAATAAACATATATACATATTTGTACAATGTCCATAATAGCATATAAGAACACTATCATTCAACTACTTGATAGTAAAATCTTTTGAGCTAAATTACATTCATTGTCAGTAATAATTGTTTTATTATAAAATTTTTGAAAAGTTGTTGACCTTGTACAGCGCCAACTGGCTGTCCTCTCATGGGAAATCGTATATATTTCCAGTTTAATAAAATGAATAAGTTTTCAGGTTTGTGCATGTGATGTTGCAGGTTGACACCACATGGTTTATACTCTAGTAAATAGATAATCACAAATTATATAAAATGAACACATACTAAAAATATAAGCACTTAGTATGTAAAGAAAACATCTGGTGGTTCTAAAATTTGAAAATTTGGTATCAGCATGATTTCTTCCTTTTAGGTTCAAAATCATTTAAAAAATGAATAAAACATAATGAGGATTATGTGAATAAATTTTGACGACACTAAAACCCTTTAGTTGGGAATAATATCCCTTCAAATCTAGTCTGATTTTATATAATCCTGTCTATTATAATAACACACAAATGTACTTTAGAAATCAATAAAACAAAGACAATACTAATCTGACCTGCTTTTTGGACACTTTTTACTTAATATGTAAATAAACTCATCAGATATACCAGGATTAAAATTTTGTACGCCAGAAGTGCGTTTAGTCTACAAAAGACCCAAAAATATACACACGTACAAGCAAGAAGATAGAGAACACTGATACTTAAAGCTAATGCAAAAGTTTAAGTATTATTGATACTTGGACGAATCAATAATTAGTCCAAGGCTTAATTATAAGTCTTAACACTTCCAAAAGGATTTAATGTTTAGACATCATACCTACCTTGGAATCGATAAAAATCATGTTTATTGCACTTAACGTTCTATTCTATCTTTAAAATTTTGATACCTATCTTTTTTATATGGATTGAGGTGTTCCCACACTTTCATTGCGTTGTGTTATACTCAAATTTGAAGAAAAAAATGAATGTTTTCCGGATTTTTTATACTTTTTGATGTACATACAGATTTTTAAAAAAATATTTTGCATAAAAGAGTGCACAAAACAAAGTTTGGAGAACAAAATTTTATATCATATAAAAAAGAAGATGTGGTATGATTGCCAATGAGACAACTCTCCACAAGAGACCAAATTTAAAACAGAAATTAACAGCTATAGGTCACTGTACGGCATTCAACTATGAAGTAATATTATTTTATTTAGTACTGTAAAGATTGCACTCATTTAGTAGTAGACTCAGCTGAATGCATCAACATTAAATATTTACATATCTTGAATTCTGGAAGCTCATAATTTTATTTTGAAATATCTTTTTCAGTTCGTCTGGTTTAACACATGATGGACCCGTAAATTTCCAGTCTGGAATACGACAAAGTGAACTCCCCCCAGGGGAACATAACATCAATGACATAGCTCTAGGTTGTGATGGTTATACATTATACAGTGCTACTGGCAGTATGGTCAGAGTTTGGGATCTTACTACGTAAGTTTTGAGGAATTTTCTTCATTAAGCCATGTAATTATCTCCCCTTACCTATGCAAAGGGACACAACTTGGTTGTACACTTTGTAGTCCAACAGTCATTAAAATCATATTTTGTTATTACAAGAAATTAAAGTCAAATTAAGAATCTTTGTTGTAAGAATTATTTCATTGTACAGATGTCTACCTAATTATATTTACATGAGTATTGTTGTACTGAAAAGTCTGAAATATTCCTGTTTTAACAAACAAAAATTGAATAAGTTCTAAATTACAAAAAAATGGAAAAGAGAATGAGAAAAAAAATTCTAGCATTCTTCATGTTCTTTGATTAAATAAAGTGACTTTGTAGATTTAGAATATGATTGTTACTTTATGGGTGTGTTTTTGTACAAATGTGGTAATAATAAGCTTTTTTTAAAGTACCGCAATTATTCTGTGTTCAGATTGATAAGTTGAAACAGTGAGCTTATTTGAACAAATGAAATGGACAGCAATTTCTAAATCAATTTGTTTGTTTTTATAGTTTCAGTGCAATAGGTAAATTAAATGGTGGGCATCAAGCAGCAGTAATGGTGTTAGCTGTTGAACAACAAAAGGATAATGATGTTGTAATAACTGGTTCTAAAGATCATTATATAAAAGTAGGTACCAGTAGTGATATTGGTGGTTTGGTTATAAGGAGAAAACAGAGATTATCAAGTTATGACAGTTTTATAGCAGTATTTTCTTTACCCAATACAGTTAAATGATTTGAGCTGTGTCGGATAGAATTCGACCTTATGTAATTAGATATAAGAAGATGTGGTATGAGTGCCAATGAGACAACTCTCCATCCAAGTCAAAATTCATAAAAGTAAACCATTATAGGTCAAAGTACAGTCTTCAACACAGAGCCTTGGCTCACACCGAACAGCAAGCTATAAAGGGCCCCAAAAATTACTAGTGTAAAACCATTCAAACGGGAAAACCTGTATACATGTACATGTTAAGACTTTGATTTTAGAACATTCAAATACAAAATAAAAGATGAATTTTTGTCTGTTTTGTAGGGTTCTTATATCAGGTTAATTTTCAAAAAAATTACAGACTTTGCATAGAGTTTTTTTCAACCCAAAATAAGCTAACAGATGAATTGATTTTCATTTGTATATAGTCTATCTGACACAGCTCATTTGTTAACATTTACCTGCAGATGTGTACTATTAATATTCCATTAGAATTTTGTGAAAAAAAAGTGCTTTGTATAATGATTAGTATAATCAAGGAAACTGTTACATCTTATGAATTTTCAGTGATGAAAGGAAATTTACAAAAATAATTAAGTATAAGAAAATGAACACCAAGATAATCATGGTTTTTCTTTCTGTTTATTTGTTGGAGTTTTGCATTGAATGCAATGTTCCAAGCTCATAAAATAATGAACAAATACCTAGTAATCCACACTTTATATATTAGGAAAAAAAATGATTTGACCTTTTAATAGGATTTATTGATGATATTTGATTCTCTTGATGAAGAAGGATGCAGAGAAGTGCTTTGGATGCATGAAATTAGTGGAGTGTTATTTTTATTTACTAGCACTGTGCTAATATAACAGCTGGTAAACTGTTAGTCCCTGACAGTATCACCAGCTCAGCTTCTGTGGTGACTTGATTTATAACAAACTTTAAGTTATAGTTGTTAAATTAAGCAATTATTAACAAACTAAAGTTCCAACTCTCTCAGTTGACCTTAGATGATTTTGGCTATTTTATTTAGGCCCCTTTTGGTCATATGCCTCTTCATGTGTTCTGGTCTTTAACATCCTTCAGGTGTTTAGGTTTGAGCATTCCTGGTGAAGGGGGATCAAGAAATTAAAAGAATAACCATACACATGCAAACAAAGTTTTGATTTCAAAATTGTTTCGAAACAAAGTATGACAGAAATTGCAACAAAATTTTCAGTTTGAAAGTGTTGAATATTGTTGTAATATTTTTAAACTGATATATATTTTTGTATTGCAGATTTTTGAAGTAACAGATGACAAGGCAGGGGTATTAACTCCTAAGTATAATTTAGAACCACCCCATTATGATGGTATACAGTCGTTAGCGATAAAAGAAAATATTTTATTTAGTGGTTCTAGAGATACTTGTATAAAAAAGTGGGATTTAAAAACACATCATTTAAAACAGGTAATTTTTTAAGTCAAGAACCTCCTGTTTTGACAAAGTAACATGCTTACCCTGAGTGCAGAAGTTTGATCCCCAACCAGGTCTCAAGACTTTAAGACTTCTAAGAGTAAAAACAAAAACTGCTGGACATTCAAAAAGTTCTGTCTCTGGATAGGGTAACTTGTATTTTTCCAGACTTTTGTTTTATGAACTAGTACATTAAATATCCAATTCAGCATGTTTGTTTTGCGCAAAGCATGTTATATCCATTATATGACATTAGAGAATTTATATGAAGGATCTTCATAGTACAAGATAAATATCATTATGTGATAAAGAAAAAGAGATTAGTATGCATTCAGGATGTTAGATTTTAAGCCCATGTTTACAGAATCTCAAACTATCAGCATCACAAAAATCTTGTGTATAAACTCACTGTTTCACCTCAATATCAAGTTTTTTTTAATACAAAAGAATCTCTGTAGGAAAACAATATAAATACGATATGTTTCAATATTTTCTAAAAATTATGGACTTTATAGTCAAAGGGAGATAACTTATTTCCAATTTTTTTCAAATTTTATTTTTCAGTCTATAAACCAAGCACATAAGGATTGGATATGTGGATTAAGTTTTATACCTGATTCTAATATTGTATTGAGTGGATGTCGTGGTGGATATCTTAAGTTGTGGAATGTGGATAACTGTCATTGTATGGGTGAAGTAAAGGCTCATACATCACCTATCAATGCTGTAGCAACCAATGGGTCAGCCATATTTACTGCGTCTAAGTAAGTATTTATATAGGTTAGCTAATCTCTAAGAAAAATAGTTAGCTAATCTCTAAGTAAAAAATCTTTTTGCTGATAAGAGGGTTTTGATATCAAATTGATAGAATTTTAGTCCTTTTGTTTTCTGTCTGTAGGAGGTACTGTAAACGAACTAATTTTCATGAGCAATTTATATTCACGACTTTCATGAGTAGAAAAGTAAAGCAAATATAAACCAAGGATCTTTCTTATATAAATACATCAAGAAAAAAGAAAATTATGAAAATAAATTGCCACTAAGTTGGCTAGAAAGGGCTGTGAGCTAAATTAAGTATCGGTGAAAATAAGTTATTCAAATTTCAATGGACAAATTGCAATGTGGCCAGGGGGGGGGATATTTAACAGAGACTATCAAAAGTCTTACTTTTTACACATTGTGACTTGGATGGAGAGTTGTCTCATTGGCACTCATACCACATCTTCTTATTTCTATAAGTATATATATATATAATATATATATTGAGAAGGTCAGTATAATAACTGATGCAAGAATTTTGGCATACATTTTAATAAGGTCATGACTAAAAACTATAGATTTATTTGATATAGGGAACTCATTGAAGAATGCGCACAAGGATCCTTAAACTATGAACTATTTCTCATGCTGCATTCATTTTACTGAAGTCAGCTGTATCATATACAATCTCCAATCATATCTAAACATCTTAAAAGTGGGAGAAGAAAATTCAGACAAAAAATTTAACATTGTTGCATTTATTTCTTTTTTCCAGTGATTCTGCAGTGAAAATCTGGCAGTTTAACAGAATACAAACATGTGAATTTTATATTTGATTCTTTCCTTGTTTTTGCTTAGTTTTCCAGTGCACGATCATTGTCAATATTATCTTTCCTTCAAATCCACTATTGTGGATAGATCTTTCAAATCCACCATTGTGGATGGATGTATCCTAATATTATGTTTTAAGAAGAAATGTATGCACAGAAAGTATTATGTAGATTGTCACATATTAAATCATAAAAATCTGCATTTATTGAAACATATTTCCAACACTTAGAGTATAATGTATTTGATGGACATGATTGTTGAACTGCATGTGTATTTCCAATTTCAATGTTATAGAAATTACTTTCTGTTTTTCTCTGTATTTCCTCTGTCTTCTCTCAAACATTTATCTTATTCTCAGTGCTGACAGATTGATGTGTCTTTTTCTCCTTTACAACCAAATGTACTCAGAAAACAAGACTCTTATTTGTATATATGAGCATGATGAGGGTGTGGATGGGTTTTGCAGAATCGAGAATAATGGGTTAAAATTAATAAACGTTCTGAGAGAAATGGGACCAAAAAATATAGAATAGAGAGAATAATATGTTACTATAACATAAAAATTCAGGAAAAATGGCATTGAAAATTAAAGAATATCTACAAAAATGATGACCCCCCATCCAGACCATCATATCATGCTCATGCAATGAAAAATTAAGGAGTCGTGAATAAGGGTAAACATACTTTACTTTGGTATTCCTCTAACAATTTTACTTTTTTCCATATTGTCCATCAAGTATCTGCTATCAGCTATGCAATAACACATTCACCATAAGTCATACGTTCATACACATATGAGAAATATTTGTAAAAATCATCACATTTCAGCTTCATTCATAACATAAAAAATTATAAACCCCATATACATAGGTCACCTTCATTTAGCAAATATTAAGCTCCTCAAAGATGTTATTTAAAAACATCATAATATAATAATTCAGTAATTTATTCCATTAAAATTTCATGCAGTATATACCCATTTGACTATATTCATGATATATAAGGTATATATGTATCACATTCATGAATACTTGCACTCGGAACATTTTTTGGAAACTTTTCTACAGCTCATTTTTATATAAATAGGACATTTAAGCAATATTTTTACAGTTTCCTGGAATAAGTGAGCCCATAGTATTTTGACATAATTTATAATGTTCTATCAAAAACAATATGATATAGGTTCCATGGCCAATTTCTTACCAAGTCTAAACATAGTAATATTTGAAGGAATGGTTTTTTTGGGTACTCACTGCAGTAGAGACAATCAAATTGTGTTGTGTTTAAAAGGTGTGACACTTAAAATAGTTTTATATATATATATATATATACACATTGGTGATTCATGAAGCATGCTGTGTCAATGTTTGTCCAGTGTGTCCTACATTTTTTATTTGAAATGGTGCAATTAATGAAAAATAAAATTATTATCTATTAGGCCAGGGTTTTTTAATTTTTGTGGTTTACAGATCCTCCAACCCCATTTTTCTGATTTTCAGGAGAAGAAAAAAAATGACATTTAGTGCTTTTTAATTCCCACTGACCCTCACAATTACATTATCTCTGAAATATAAATGAAAATATCTGCTTAGCAGCAGATATTTTTCATGAAATTAAATGCAACCTAACTTTTTCATGTAAAAAATCTGTGAATCAACAAATTGAAAAACCCTGACCTTACAGAACAATTGCTTAATTTTAAAACTTGATTTTTGATTTACAGAGAACTTCTTTGATTTTCTTAGGCTTAAATAATGCCTGTTGAAGGTTAAAAATTGTATATTTCATTTAAACAAATGTATATTTATCAAAATGAAAGAATCATTCCACATCAGACCTGGTCTAACTTTATTTGAAAAAAAAGGTAGCACTTTATACATAATCCAATCTTTCAGTCCCCAAATCATCAAAATTATGTGCTAAATAACCAAGAGCAGACAATTATGAAGTAATGTATCTCAGGTTAGTTTCTGTCATTTTTGTGCTGAACTGAAGACGAATATTTTCTGTGTTCATTGATCCCTTTCATGACTTTCAAAGATGCCTTTGATTGGACAATGAAATGTTTGTATAGGGTATTTTTCATGGCAAAATGCCTGCTGCAAACACACGAAAAATTAAACAAGCTAAAATTGCCAGATATAGATTGTGTTTTGCTTTATGTTGTGAGGCTTGTTTTACTTAGAATATTCTGAGCCATTTACATTTTAGTTGCAGTTGATTATATCTTTTTCAGCTTGGTTGATTCTGGCTTCTCTTTTTCAATGTGACATTTGTTTTGATGATAAAATGAAGCTTTATGTAAATATAATTTACTTTGAGTAGCCAGATTCAACAACTATTTTATCTTTTATTTCATACATGTGTATTTCTTTTCTTTTTTATTTAGTTGCTTTATTTTTGCTTTTATTTGCACTTCTAGTGACCACACTGTGGGAATCTGGCGGACCAAATCCGGACTGGAAACCCCGGACACATCAATTGAGCAGTCCTAAAAGTAAAAGTGAAAACTATATTTACAAGAGGTACAGATAACACATCGTGAAATTAACTTTAGAAATGATCACAAACATTTGTAAACTCTATGGAAACAGCAGAAGGTAACCAGGAAGTGAATAGACTGTTCCTGGTAACTCAGCAGAAACAGGATACCAGTATATATCATATAGAAAGGGAGATAATTCAATCCAAATTCATTCATATATTTACAGAGGGGTGCTTTTGTACAGCTTGGGTAGATGAAGCTGATACATTTATGCATTTCACCTCTATTTCTCCATCAAACAAAGGCCATGAAATAATTGTAACCCCATAACTTATATTCATAATAGAGGAAGCAAGATGCCTAGATTAATTTAGATTGATCCATAACCCTTATAAAACAATGGCTTTCATGTGCTTCAGCATTTATCGAAATTAAGGTCAACCACTGAGTTAAGTGGCATCAAATGGAGGATAGTTCACTATTTTGTAATTTAATGCAACATCTTAATTTAGGTAATTCTTTATAATACATCGATCAGACACATAAAACTGCTATAAATCCATTAGTTTTGCAAGTGCTCCTTGAAATTGGTAACATGGTTGTAACAAAGGAGTTGCCGTGCTAAGGGCCTTATTTGCCAAAAAAATGTAGTCATTCAAAATCATAGGACTTATGCATAGAACATTTTTCACATGATTTGAATATTCACTGAGATTTTGAATGAATGAAAGGGGGTCAAATTGAATATTCATTCTTAAATGACTAAATACTGCTAAGTTTGTGATTTAGAAATGCCAACAGCATGCGAGTACTATATACATTTAAATATAGTTATGGTGTTGGTATGTATAGGCAGACTCTCTGATAAATGATCTACTTCTAGTTCTCAATATGCCAATAAAAAATAGCATAAAAACACAAAAAACATGATGTCAAGATTTTTATTTTCAACTATGTTTAAGACTTTTGAAATACCTGTTGGTCATTAAGAAATAACTCATTTTCAATAGATGCACACAGCTTGTAGATTAAAAGTCAATATATCTGTGAAAAATTGGTGAAAGAATTCCCTTATAAACACCATCCTTTATGACTACTGTATGCTTCAACTTTATGCTCTTAGAATTGGTTGCTCATTTATATGTTGTCTATTTATGCTCAATTCTGTTCTTTCTCATTTTTTAAGACCAGAGAACAAGTTAGTTTTAAGATTTTCATCTTAAGCTTCAACCAAAATTAGATTTATTTTCAAATGTAAAAAACTGTGTATCCTATTCTCTAAGATGATCCGGCATCAAATATTTGTACAGTTAGGTTTTTTTTTGTGTGTACTTTCTCAAGCAATTAGCTTGCTCTATAAGTTTATACTTCAAATTTATCAAGGATGGAAATCTTAAAAATGATATACTTTGGCTAAGTTAAAATATATTTGTAATTTATTGTTTTTATAAAATAGTAGAAATTTTTATTTTCTTCTCAAAAAAGTTTCATGTCAATGGGATCTCATATTTGTTATGATTTTTTTAGTTTTGTTTATTAATTTATATGCTTACTTTAGTTTGTCATACATAAATTAAGTTTCAGGATTTTGTTTCATTCATGAAACTATCAGGATTTTTTTTTGGACTGCGAAATCTGTAATTTTGATGCAACCAATGTTAATTCTGTTTTAGGTTGATAGCCACATATGTACGGTTTTTGTTTCAAAACATTATATTTAGAGAAAAAATGAAAACCTTTTCCTTGACAGGTACTATTTAGTTGTTGTATGGACAGTAGACACTAATTATTAATGAATTTAAATCATGTTATATTAATTCATTTTGTCATATTGGGACCAAATATTTTTGTAATGGCTGTGAATTTACATTGTTTATTTTCCTTGAAACAGAACAACTGCATTTACCATTATTACATATTAATTAGATGTATGTTAGCCCTACTGGTCAAAGGTGTCAGTTTGGGCTACAGCTTGGATTTGGTGTCTATCATCATTGTCTGTTAAAAGCCTACCATAAAGGCTGACTTTCAATTGGAGATGAATTCATGTGCTCCAATCTTCCACATGTTAAAAATGTTACAGAAATAAACTATGATTTATTTGTAAGAGCTAAAGAACAAAGAAGAAAAGCCAGGCTTGCATAAATATTTTTAGCAAGTGCTTAAAACAGTTCTAAAGGTCAAAGATACTAGGTTGATGATGCAGTCTCTAGTTTGGTTAATGATGATTTGGTATATTAGTGCTGTCTGAATTACTTTTTGTGTAAAGGGTACTTATTATTTTGACATGATCTCAAAATCAGTTACAAGATATTTTATATGGTAAAATTAGATAAACTAAATGTGTTCATTACAGACCCAAATAAACAATTTTCACTCTCTAATTTTACCTTTTTCATTTAGAAATTATTTTTTTTTCACTGTAAAAAGTTATTTTGTCAAAAAAAATTTAAAGAAAAAGAGTTTAATGATATTAATGCATGAAAGGTTGATTAAAGTAGCACATTCTAATTTTGTTCTGTCATAAAATATGAAATTTTCATATTTGTTTATGTTTATTATACATGACATGTTATTTTTTGTAAGCTCAAACAACATCAGAACCAAAACTGTGTTTACACAAAGAGATATTTACTTTGGTATTTAGATGTCATAACTTAATAGGTAACTTTTAGATCAGTCAGCAATGGTTGACAAGATGTAATAATCTTGGAAAATATTTTGGAAAGTTAATATGGGTCAAAAGTAGAAATAATTGAAGTAAATGTTATTCCCCTGAATATATGTGGTGATAGAATATTTTCTAACAGGGCTCATTATTCTCAAGTTCTTTAGAGTCTCTTTAAAGATGTTTTGTTTTGCATCTTATCTATTGTTTCATTATAATCTCTAGTCCAATATAAAAAAATAACCTCAATATTTAATCAGTGTATAATTGTAATTAAAATATAATGTTCAACCTCGCCACCTTGATTTTGTATGTCTTCTTTAAGTTGTCCATTACACATGAAGAGGGAATACATTGTACACATTTAAACAAATAAGGTTCATAGACCTGTCATCCAACATATCTATAAAATTATCATTATTATAAATGAATTATTACAGTGTTATACGTTAAGTTTGTATGATAAGATTGCTTCAAGTCGCCACTGTGATAATTTTGTAATTATATGTTATATTGGCTGTAAATTTTTTGTACAAGTTGTATGGACAATACACATCCCAAATGTAATGTTTGGTACATTGCATTAACTGTTTTGTTTTTGTTGATTATATAGACAAACAAAATAATTATGACAGTTTTGTTAAATAGCCTTTGTTGTCAACATTGTTATCTTTTTGAAATTGTGTCTCCACTGCTACCTTTTGTTTATTATCCTCCAGAGTCAGGTTGGATTTTCTTTGAAAACACTCACTTTTAATCATATAACCATGGTCAAATCATCAAATTTGTTACAAGGTATTCCTGAAACGAGGGACGTTTCCACCATTTTTGCCAACTTAATAAGTGTAGGTAATTCGAGTCAACATGCTTCACAAATTGAAATGTAGACTACTGTGGATTCATTATCATGCATGTTTTATGATGAAATCAATCATCATGGATTTCCAGGGTAAAGATCAACAAATTTACTTTTTCCATGATGTACAACTTGTCTATAGACTTCTGATTTTGCAAAAACCATGAAAACAAATAGAAACTTTCTATAGACTTGTATGCAGATTTTGGCAAAACCACGAAAAAACAAATATCCATGAATGCCTATTTTTTCCTTGAATCCACGAAAATAAGTAACCACAGAAATAAATGAATCCACAGTAGTTGATAACCTTGTGGAACAAAGCTTAATACGGGGGTAACTAGATGATTTATTTGAATTTGAAATATCTATATAAAATTATACCACTTACATTAACTTGATCGGGAAGTTTGGATACTTCCAGGACATTTTTCAGTGTAAACACATCAAGACTTGTCTCAGAATTCTCTGTAACCATAGTAACACATACCTAAGCTTTTGTCTCGGATTTTGTTGTACTTATCAGGGATACATATTGTATGTAAATATTGTCGTTATGATGGTGCAGATGTACCAAAATAAAGTTATATATATTTTCTACAAGTCTTATTTCTTTTGTCTAAATTGTAATTAAATTTGTGAAACAAAGGTATTGCTTTTCTAACTGGCATTATGATTCACATTGAAATAAGAAAACATTGTATGATTGCCAATCAGACAAATCTCCACCAAGACCAAATGACATAGATGTTGTCATATATAGGTCCAACTTTCAACAATGAGCAAAGCCCATACTGCATAATAAGCTATAAAAGGGCACGAAATGTCAAACATGGCAAATGTTAAATTTAAAAGTTAAAACTAACAGCCTGATTTATGTACAAAACAATAAACATAACAAAAAAAACAAATATGGTATACTACAACAAATGACAACTGTTGAATTCAGGCTCCTTACTAAGGACAAACACATGTATAATGTGGTCGGGTTAACCATTTTTTTTCTGGTGCCCAACTCTTCCCTATCCTTGGACAATGGTAATAACACTACTACCTGTATAAGAATGAACAATAAAAATAACTTGAAAAGGGCTAATCAGAAGATACAAAACACGACAACAACTAACAAAAGCACTGAAGACATAAAGTATAGATGTGAGAAAATTTACAGTTACTGAAAGTTAGTTAACAGCCAATAACAATTAATAAACAAAATCATGTTTCTAGGACTGAAATATCAAACTGTACACATCCAAGATCTGATAGATTTAGTTTAAAGACGTCATTAACAATCAGAGAGAAAAAACATATCTTGTGCAAAGCAAAAATATAGGAATCCACAGAATGTAGCACTGTGAATGTTCATTGTTGAACAGCAATGATATCTAGTTGGGTTTTCATTTACTGATAAAATCAATTTTCAATTTAAAATGAATTACCTATTTTGGATATCTTATCCCAATTTTCATCTACGGGAAACAAATGTTATCAGGTAGTTTAAGAAGACCTTACTAAATGATCTGCCCTTCATTTTCATGTGCCCGCTGGTTAGTAATAAATTAATTATTTTGGAAGAAGTCTACTCCTCAGTTTCTATATATGACAGGTCAGAAGTATTTGGTATAAGGATTGATTGTGATGGGGTATTGGTCCATTTGACATGCCATATAGACGAGACGTTACTGATACAATGGTATGGTGATTTGGTAAATTTTTCTGGATTAAATCTATTCCTTGATGACAATACTGTATAAGCATATAATAAAAAAAAAAGAGAGAAAGAGATGACTAAAGTACAGAGAATTAACTCTTCATGTGATTAAGGTGACAATATTAATATTTTAGAACAGATAATGAAAACGATGAATGTGTCAAGGAAACAACCTGACAAGGAACAGAAAAACAGCATAAGGCTACAAATGGGTCTTCAATGAACGCAGCGACACTAAACCCCGAAACATGCAAATGAACCTAAATTTAAAAAAACACAGAAGACTAACAATGGCTAGATGTTCCTGACTTGAGACAGACAGAAAAATGCAACGTATTTAAAAATGTTTTATGAGATCTCAACCATTTACCTTTAGCCAATATCGAATAACCAATCACACAACAAAGCGCACAGTGAAGCTCAGTTGGTAAGAATTCCGAGTCCGATGTGAGAATAGGTAACAGAAGAAACTAAGAAAATGCCAATGCTAAACATAATTTAAAGAAGGCTTGCTATCAGTTGTTTACATTGATAGCCTCGCACTGATAAAAAAAAGTATTTTCAAGACAACAATTACATTTCGTCTGTTAGATTATTCTATGAGAGATATACAGTTTAATGCATAGTGTCTCATTTTCATTTTTTATGAAGAAAATGACAATAGAAGCTAGTAGCACTGCTATTATTTTCACCACAACAACTTTTAAAGGGGCATTAGCTAAGAGATATAAAAAAAATAAATAAAATATGATTTTGTTTTGTTCAATTATTAATGAAAGTAAACAGTGAAATAGCCAGTTAGGTTCAAATTTTTCAAAATAAGCTAAGAAATATCGCTGATGAATTATTCACTTGCAAGTGATCTCCTTGAATCCGTATTCACGTGACCTTAAAATTACCCCCTTAGCTAGAGATGTTTTATGCATAACTTAAGCGTGTTATGCTATTAAAAGGAAAAGAATGTCTACATTGAAAGTGAAATAAGGGTAAACGATTTGATTGACTGATTCAATCAACAAAAAATCATTCTTACACAGGTAAAACGATGATTAACATATATTTTATCCTATAATATGGAACCAAACAGGCCAAGACATATACATTGCACAATTCCGCTAACTATTTATATCCATATTTCGGGTTATATGACCGTCGACAGTCTTTGGGGGTCACCTCGATGGTTCATTAGATTGTGTCTACACTAAAATACACACTACATGCTGATACATATTATCGAGCCCATGCATTGCAAATTGTTTATTTTCGACTTTTTATAATTTAGATACACGTTTTAGTATGTTCAAATTGTAAATCAAATATGATAATTTGAGCAAATCGATGAACATGAATTTGACAGCTAATTCCCCTTAATTTTTTTTTACCCTAACGCCAATAGCCTAAATGCTGTTTCCATCGTTTGTTGTATCTAAAGAGAGTTGAAAATATTTGATAAATATATTGCACAAACCCATCAAATTGACAACGGATTTATTTTAGCCTAATAGAGCTCTGGCGCTTGTTTAGTGGGTCAGACGAAGTTTTACAGACAATTGCGGTTGCTATCCTATATAAAATATCAGAGATATCGACCACCATTTACAGTAAAAACCTCGTCTGACCCACTAAACAAGCCCTGTGAGTTACAATAATCGATTCAGTAGAAAAATGTGAGAACAAAATATTATCAAAGTAAAAATAGAAAGAAAAATCATACTAAATCTAATTAAAAAAAATCCGATACCCTGGATAATTCAATGTTCTTTTGAGTTTGTAAAATCCAGATTTTAGATGTCCTTTTCAAAAGTTTGATTGATGATATGTGTTTGAATCCTTCTAATACTTGTTAGAGATATATGATAAGATATCTCAGAGACATGTTCATATCGTTTGGCTTTGAGGCGTTGGTTTTCTATCAATTTTAAAACTTTATGGTAATGTTTCTTCATTATAACATGTTGTAATTTAAATTTATCGCATATTAATATCGTATGACCATTTGATTGTTCAATAGTGCAATCTTCAAAGATAAAACGACCATTGCTCAAAGTCCAAAAGTGAATAACAATCAACCATTTGTAATTACTTTTCCCCATGTTGAGAAACAAGGTAACTTAATAATAAATGTTTCATATCTCAGAAAATATTCTTTACAAATCTTTAACACATCATGCACATATTTCGTTAAATATTTGTCGTTTTCACTATACCTGTAAAATAAAGGGATATTTAAGACAACTCAACGCTAAATTTATCACATGATTTACATTACTAGTATATGAATAAATGTAAATTCTTGATGATGCCCAGTCAAAGACAATTGTATCGAAATTGTCATTATATCAAAACGATACTGTTATTTGACTGCAACATATGATTTTACTTGCAGAAAGGCGACTTGTTTTATCAACGTTTAGTTGTTATTTCTACGAACGTTCCATTACATGTATCGTTAGTCCAAAATAGATAATGAATGCCCAATCAGTAAAAGAGTCATCTAATTAGTGTTGCTGTTTTCAGCCCTTGATATAATGTTTATTTCGTAGTGGTTAACGATATTTTGTGTACTTGCCTTTTTTTTCTTAAAGTAACATGTTCTGCTGTAGCTATACCAAATATAAGGTAGAAGGACCTTGTTGAAGTCCGTACGATGACATATAGCTGTTAATTTCTGTGTCATTTTGGTCTCTTGTGGAGAGTTGACTCATTGGTAATCATACCACATCTTCTTTTCTATATGACTAAGTATATTAAACCTACCGAGTGCACATGGATTGTATATTAGTTTAAGGACTCTACAACATCACTTTTAATGTTATTTCCCCTCTCTCCTCCTCCGTACATCTTGTACGAGTAAGTATAAGATTCCAGAGTACCATTAGAACTATAATGGTTATTGCCCATCCTAGCTTAATTTGCCCTAAAACAAAAATTCTCTCAGAAGTACCCTAAGGAGCTACCATATGATTTTTATGGGGGGGGGGGGGGGGAGACTCTGGGGCGAAATTTCATAAATAAGACAGGACAAGAGTCTTGATTAAAAAAAAAGGCAGGATGAGCAACTTTGCAAAAAAAGGCAGGATGACAACTTATTTAAAAAAAGTCAGGATAAACTAATAAAAGAAAAAGGCAGGACAGAGATTACAACTGAAAAAATGCAGGACATATTTTTCATCCTAGCCCCCCTCCATAATATCAAATGGCAGCTCCCTTATTAAAAAGATAAAATATGTCTATAGAAGAGAAAATGGTGATCACAATATGATTTTGATTTCTGGTTTAAATTGCAGCTAATATGATGTTTAAATACCATAGAAACAGGAACAGTTACTATACATTGTTTTAACCGTTGGCTCACATTTAAACATTACAGATAAATACATAGAAATTCTTATATTCACTTAGGCGATGACTGGCGTTATTAATTGTGATCCCTGTGCCCATGAGGACAACATTAAGCATGCAAAGAAATGGTGTACTACCTGTGAAGAAGGTTATTGTGCAGACTGCGAAAAGGTTCACAGATCAACGAAGATGTCCAGAAATCACAACTTAATAACAATTTCCGATTAGTGAAAAAAATATGCGAGGTCCAGCTGGATTAGCTGTATACAATGAACAAAACGTTTTTGTTGCATGTAATGATTCGTATAATCTTTTGATCATAAAACAGGATGAAAAGGAAAAGAAGAGTAAGTTTTTACTGTCATTAAGACGCGGACTGGACATGCCAAGAGCTATATACTATGACAGAGACAGGAAAGAATTGTTAGTATGTAATGAATGCGACGGAAATGCCGCAATGTACAAAGTAATTGAAGGTTAGATACCCATCGTGGGTTGGTAACTTGTATCTTCAGTTGATTAACTGAACGCAAATTAACTTTGTA